GTCTTACACAAGAGGTTGTTACTGAAAACTTGGTAACCATGGGGTGAAAGGTAAAGCTCTGTTACTGATTAAAAAGAGTCATTGGAAAAAGCAACCTTCGCATCATTTTCCAGAAAGGAAAATGATTGTTAAGTAGGAATGGAGTTAATAGAAATTTTCTGGACAAAATTGTTTTTTATAGGAAAAAATGTTAATTAAAGATAGTAACTGGAAAGATTTCCCTTTTTGATACAGGGAAAAAGATAATTTTTAGCCTTTCCAGTTGAAAAATTTTTAAAGAAAAATAAAATTAAAAAAACCCCACCCTCACATATAATCCAGCAATAAAAAATCAAAGTAAGGATTTTAAACTGAGGAAAGAGATTGATTAGCTGGGGTGAACAACAGTAAGCCAATGGAAGTCCTATATTATAGAATGATTGGGAAATAAACTTTCAGTTGGTTAATTCTGGTAGTGAAGAAAGCGATAACTAGAACAGGGTGACCTTAAAAAGTTATAAATGAAGCACGTGCAAAACAACTAAAAAGCTATTATCTCCATACATTATAATAGAATTTTTAATAATTATTAAGCCAGGGCCTCATTTTTTGGGGAAAAAAGCTTGCTGTTTTGTCTTTTTTGACATCAAATGCTAGTTTTAAATGTCAGTTGAATCTTCATAGTCTGGGATGATTTCTATAAAATGTACTTAATTACCTACCTAAGTGGCCTTTAGCTGTGCAATCACACATTTGGCTCAAACATGGACTGTTGTCAGAAGTTGAATACTTTTTTTTTTAACATTTGCTTCAGTCCAATATGTTGTAAGTTCAAACAGGCTTATAAAAAAAGCCGAATAAGGTGTTACCCAATAGCTTACGCCGCAAAAAATCCACCATGCCTTAACAGTTTGTTTTCTGTTAGATCTTTCTCCTTGCTGTTATTGAAAGCCTGTTTGTAGCTTCCTGCCTCTGAGGGAGAAGTGTTCTCATGCTTCAGCTGGCTGGTGGAAGCCTTGGGAAGGAGCCTTCTCCTGCTCCTTCCCAAGCTGCAGTGTGGAGCTGCATCTGACACACCTTTGCCGGATGTCCAGGGAGATGCAAAAGAGAATCATTTCAGTTTTGGCAAGACATAGCATCATAGTTTATTTTCAGTTCAAGTCTTAGTTTTAACTGTGATTTTCTTGGTTTTTCTTTGTATATACTACAAACTTTTAAATCTAAATTTCCTATCTATATTTATCCTCTATTGAAGGCCAAAAAAGTATGTGTGGATTTTTTTTTAGAGATAGTATGGCTTTAAATAGTTAGTTTCCTTCTCAAAACATCTGATTTTAGACTTAGGGGCAGCATGTGAGTCAGCACTACAAAAATTTCCTTTAGACCCCTGGGAATATTTGGAATTCAGCAAACGGCAGCTAGTAGCTGTTCGGGACAAGCTTAGTATTAGGTTAAATTACTTATTCCTGGATTAAAAAACTAACTGGAATTTGTGCTAATGTAGGCCCTCTTCCTGCTACATGCAGGATTTCAGATTATTCTTCCTTCCTGGATTGGTCTAGTAGTATGTATTTGTTTTTTAAAATTGTATTAAATTTCTTTTAGAGAAGTTCAGGATTTGTAAGTACAAACTAAATACAAACAGAAAAAAGAAAATTTGAGGGACTTGGTAAATGATAATTTTATTTTAATTTGTACAATATTTTGTAGGAACTAGTTTCAGTAATCTGCTTAAACCATGAGAAGCAACCTAAAATAAATATATTTTTGTTTCAATAAATAGGAAGTCCTTTAAAATGTGTTGAATTATAATTTATTCACTTCAGAAATGATCCTGTCATAAAATTATAGAGACAGCCTACACTACTGTTGAGTTTGATAAAAATTCTTTCTCTCTTGAATGTTTATGATTATCTTGTGTAGATTAGCACAAAGATTGCACTGGATTTTTATTCTCAGAACTACAAGTCAGAACCACTAAAATGTAATTACTTTTTCTTGAAAAGTTTCTTGCTGGCTACTTGATGAATCCTCTTATGAATACCAGTACATCTTCTCATAACCCATCAGAGCTGCACAAAGTGTACAATACATGTTGTGCTTCTTTTTCATTGTGCATGACAAAAGGTGAGTTTGTTACAGTTGGTTGCAAAGTGGAAAGATTGCCATGGTTCACTAAAGCCCAGGCCTGCAAGCACTTTTGTTCATGTTTAACTTTGGTGAGTTATATGGGCAAGCACATGGATATATCCATGTGCACAGTTAACATGTCTAGTTATGTAAAACTCAGATTTTTGGTCCCTGGCTGTGAGGCTGTGCCTGTGAGACAGCTCAGAATCAACAACAGAGAAGCTTTTAAACACTTTGTCATTTGGGCATTTGAGAACTCTGTTTCAGTTTGTGCAAGGTTCAAAATTATTTGTTTGGGTTTTTTTGTAAAATCAAAATCCCCTGAGATTAATTTCTGTGTAACTGTATAAAAATATGTTCATACTCTAAGGGAAAGTCTTAAAAGGAGCCTTCCATAGGAAAATAAAATAAAATAATTTTGTCCTTCAGTGCATTCCCTGTAATATGGTCAACCGCTTCCTGGTAAGAAGAGAATTCCTGATCAACTTTTTAATGCAAAGAATGTGCTACAAAAGTCCTTGGGGTATGTAAATCAGAGAACTCTTGGATGAGGCTTTTTAGATTAATCCAAGTGATATCGTTGCTAAGGAGTAGAAAAGTCTCTGAAGTCAGAACTTAATGATGTTGGTCTAAACACAGATGGATTTGTAACTGGAAAGAAACTGGGAGCCAGAAAGTGGATCTACCACAGCTCTTTCCTGGAGAGAAACTGTGGTATTCACAAGAAAAAAACAATCTCCTCCAAGAGAGAAGCTGGGTATGCTATAGAGGAAGCTGACACCAGACAGCACTCTGTCTGCTCAGTCTTGTCCAAAGAGCAGCACATCTGACATCCCACACTAGACCTGGCCCTTTCTGATCATCTATCTTTCTCATGCTGCTTTGTCACACACCCTCAGCCACAAATACACCTCTCAGCTGAATATACAAAAATAACCTTTGCTGGGTGGCAATATGATCTTCTTGTAGTTTCAAGCATGTGTTACTGAAAACACACCCAAAACTATGTCTGCGTGTCTGTCCATGGGACCTTTGATTCAAACACTGCATAATGGGGATATACTGATTTACCCCACAGTGCGCTAGGTCAATGTGGGACAGATGTAAGCCACTTTATTTCTCCCTGTCTCTTGACTGGGAGCCAGGAGGGGTCTTGCTTTGAATGCCTTTAGCAGTGTAGTTTCTGTGTGCTACTGTTCTCATGATTAAGTTTTAGAAAGTCAGACAAACCAAAGCAGCCCAGCCCTTTCATGGTAATGATCCATAAATGTACTGGTGCAGCCAGGGATGAATTGTTATCGCAGATAGGAGATAAGCAACAAGACAAGAGGCCATGGGCAGAAAACGATGCACAGGAAGTTCTAGCTAAATATGAAGAAGTTCTTTACTGTGCAGATGACCAGAGCAATGTCAGAGATTGCTCAGAGAGTTTCAGAGTCTTATTCACTGGAGTAATTGTTGAGCCACTCATGGAATTGTTAGAGAGTGCTAGTTTGATAAAAAAATGGCTAGATATTGTCACAGGTCAGAGTGATGTTCCTTAGAAGTGATTGTCATGCATTTCTGCACAAGAAACCTAACCTGTAGCATAACTTCTTGTTTCTATCTTCTGACTGTGTATTAACTGTGAAAGAGATAAAGTTTGTCTTTAACAAGGATGAGGTCAACATGAGGAGAAGCATTAGCATTGTCATCAGCAGACCTTCAGCAAAAAAACCCTTTTCTCTTAATGTGTTTTTGCCTGTAAAATGGTAATTGGCTTGGCTAATGTGAGCTGGACTCCTGGTCTTGAAACACAGCCCATCCTTGTGAAGCACACTTTCTTGGATGCATTTCTCCTTGAATCTTGGAGAGCTGAGGAAAGCTTGTATTCTTCCCTTACAGGAAATAGGGCTATTGATGAAGCAAAAAGTGCTCTGCTTCTGGAGCACTGGCAGACTTTACACTAAAGGAAAAGTAAAAGCTGAGAGAAAGTTGCAAAGGGCTGCCACACAATGTGTTTTTCTACATATTTTCCTAGGAAAGACCTTTTAATAATGAGAAGCATAGCACTTTTCTCTGCACGGGTATGTTATGTTAGCTGAACAAAAATAAAGTGACTGAAATGTGTGTTTAGAAAGAAACAATATGCTGTGAACAATACTGGCTGGAAATACTACTACATGTTTGGAGTGGGGTTGTGTGTCATTGTAATAAAAATAGAGCTGTAAATTATACATTGGACTTTGGTTTATTCTGGAAGCTAATTTTTAAGAAACTGAGGTTTATTTATTGGTTGTGTCACGGGAATGTTTGGCTTGTTCTAAGTCCAGTCTTCAGCATTTTCATTTCAAGCCATATAAAGGAGAAGATCATCTATGATACATCTACCCCAGTTCAACAGAATGGGCTCTAACCCATCTCTGTAAATATACTGCCTCCTGTGTTGCTTCTAGGAACAGCAATACTTTCAAAATTATGTATATTTTTCTAAAATTTACTTGGGTTTCAAAACATTGCAAAATATCCTTCAATATGCTTCAAAACCAGTTTGTTTATCACAAGGGCAATGGAAAGGCATCAGAGTGGGATTCCCCCATGCATTTCCTTCAGGATGTGTGACTACTTTCCCCGGCATAGGCATTTTAAATGCAGGAAATGGCATTCTAGTTGGGTTTTGTGTCATGAAGACATGAAGAGTGGATAGAATTTATGTGAATGCCAGTGAGATTCCCTCCTTCCCTCCCTGCCTCTTGGTTGGGCAAATAGGAGACCAGCTCAGCCCTCCAATCACCTGGGCTACCAAGCCTCCACCCCTCAACACTGAGGGCTCCCACACCATCTGCAGCTGGCTTTTAAAGCAAGTCTTTTAATAAAATCACTTAAAGTCATTACTCTTCCATTTATGACAGCAGGAGTTCGGGACTGAGTAAGAGGAGCAGAAATTTGCCCAGCAGAAGTTGCTCTGAATCAGGTTAGTAATGAAGTTTACTGCTGAAAGAAGTAACCTGAAAGCAGCCTAGGTTATCTTCGTAAACACTGCCTTTAACATATGTGCTGTTTGAGTAGCAAGAGCTGTGGTATGCCGTTTGTTTACATGACACCATTATTCTGTCTTTGGTAAAGATTCTGTGTAAAAATATAGAAGATGCAGTTATATTTTCTTTCCCAGTCTGACTAGAAGGTGTTTCTACTTTTTGAATTATAAAACTTGCTTTGCTTATCCCTTTTATACATTATACTTCTGTTACAGGTGCTGCTTTCCAGTTTTATGGTTTATTATTGAAATATGCTACTTTAAATATTTCAAGCCATTAGGAGTTTTGTGAAAGTCTTGGGCACCACATAAATTTTTAGGACACTTGCAGAAAAATAATGTATTGGCAGTGCATGTGTGTACACACACGCAAATCATAGACTATACCTAATTTTGCTTCATCTCTGTATTCTTTTCCTTGCATTATTTCACAAGGTCTTACTTTTATATATTATTACACAAGATCTAATAAATGTAATACTACAATTTTGAATAATGCTACATAGGAAAAAAAGCATAAAATTTTCTTAAATGCATTTCTTATAATTAATTTTTAAGGAAAAATGAGGCTGAAAAAATATGCTACATTAATCTGTATTAACCAGCATATATTTATATTTTCCCATTTTCAATATGTTACAAACTTATTTGAGTATTTTATCCTTAATTGGTATGTTGTTTAAAATGCTTAACTACTGCATCTAAAATTAATAGTATATTATATAATCCTAGCTCAACAGAATATTTTTGAGTAAAATATCTTTATTTTATTTTGGCTTCAAAAATCATTAAACATAAATCTCAGCAGTTCTAAAATTTTTAGAGGTTTCATATTGCTTTATAACATTTGCTTTCCATATGAGATTTTTATGGGTTTTTTTGTAAAAAATTTTAATGGAAAATTTTGTGGGAGAACTTGAATGGCAACTACAGCAAAACTTTGGATTTTCCCTTGTGTAGTTTGGGTTTAATATGTACTAACTTAAACCATGTATGAGACAATCAAATGATAATGTTATTTTAATGGAAATAAAATAACTGGCACAAGATCTAAGTTACTTTTTTTGCTCCAATATCCACATATTTTTTTTAATTTTGTGTGGGATAGGAGGCTAGGTTAGATTATTTTTACATTAAAAATACTTTGCAGAAATGGTAGATTTTATATGACTTTGAAGTAGTTAAAGAAGGTTTAAATATTAATATTATCTTTGCAGATAGAGACTTTGTCCCTTGCATTGTGTTTTTAGTTACAAATTTTTTGACACCAGACATTTCCTGACAGAAGAGGGCTAACAACAGATTAAATGTTCCTAATTATCCACCTGATCAAAAAGCTGGTATGAATTGTAAGGCTGAGCTCATCTTCTTGGACTGGCATTCATATGTATAGTGGACAAGCCGTAAGTGATCTGGTTTACAATTGGCCAGGAGAGTCTGAAATTAAGATGATTTTTTATTAGCAGATGCCGTAGAGAAAAAAATTAACCAACACAATAAAAAACAAAAGGAATTGGAGAAATACCTGTTTATTCAGGTACTCTGACAAATACTGTGAAAGTCCGCCAGACATAAGAACGTTTTGTTTTGTTTTGTTTTTTCCTCACCCTGTTAGATAAACCTGTCAAGTTCCTTTCCTGTCTAAATTATGTTGTCCTCTCCTGCCTGTATCTTTGTTGGAGATGGTTGAAGGGGTAAGACTAAACTGTAGTGTGGCTAGCTTAGCAGTTCTCTCTAAGAATTTGCTCAAGGAAGGAGGAAGTGTCCATAAGGGCTGGTCATTGCTTCTCAAGTCTAAGGCAGTTGAACTGAGCCCTGCCTTTTTTAAAGCACTGCTGGAGGTGTGTTTGGTGTTTATAGCGTAACCTGAAGCTAAATTAAAACTTATTCCAACGAGCCTTCAGGAGTGCAGTGCCCCAGCACAGGTGCAGCCATGTTGTGTGCAGCCAAAGGAGCGTGCCAACGTTGGTAACAAACTTCGCAGTTTGCTTGTGACAAAGTGAAACTTGCTTTCCTTGTGGCGCAGCATTCTCTGTAAAGCAGAGTTCAAAGAGGAGCCTAGCACAGTTTAGATTGCATGAGACACTAATCAGGTTGTCTCCACACCTTAATTAGAAATAACTGCATACTGTTGGTGAGTGCAAGGGGTTTTTCCTTTGTGGTTTCTTATAACGCATTGCCTATGTTTAAACTCTGTATAAGATAAGGATTCAATATTTTCTCTGTTTAAACTGCATGAACAATATGGCCCACCCTGACTGGTGGTCCTTGCAGGCAACATGCTTAACACTGCTGTTCAAAGGCAGGCAGGTATCCATCCAACTCTGCTCCAAGAAATGTAGAACAGGTGCACCAGAGAAGTCTCAAAAGCACTCACTTCCTTCTTGATTGATTACCCACTGTAATTACCAAAAACCCCCTTTCCCAAGGGGTGCAGCTTCTCAGCTGTTGCAGCCCAACATTCAGCAGGGGTCCAGGCCAGCACTGGCAGAGCTCACGACAGTAGAGGCCAAGATGAAGCAGAGCCCACAGTCGTGTGCTAGGATGAGGCAGGGTGAGACTGCAGGAGGGAAAGGAGGAAGAATAAAGGAGCAGTTAGGAAAATACTGAAACCTGCTAGTCGAAAAGTAGGAGAGATAATTTTTAATGTGCTCATTTACCCTACTTCGTATTCCTCTCTGCCATAAAGATCAGCAGAAAACTGGTATTTGACCAAACTCAGGAATAAGATCTGTGAGTCTGCAGGAATAAGACTCTTTATAAGAGTGCATGGTGGTGGTCAGTATAAGCTTGTCTAGGACAATGCTGCCACCAAAAGGCACATCCAGCTGTTACCTTCTTTGCTCCTGTAGGTTTGTATTTTAGCATGAGATGTGCTCTGCCTCAGTGTTCTGATGAACTGCTTGTGAGTCAGCACACGTCAGCAGTGAGCCATTGCTCAGGCTGTTTTCTTGCAGGGGTCATGCATTAAAGGATCTGCTTTACATTACACTTGCCAGTTATTTCTGAGGGCACTTATCACCTCATAGATATGTCATTTGGTCCTGTGTGAAGCCAAATAGCTTTGTAAGCTCATCAGCTCTTCCTGCTGCACTGTGTTATCAAGTATGAAGTCTTGGAGTGTCTCAGCCAAATCTGAAAGGAGGCCATGCCTGAGGTACAGTCCTGCACTTGGCACGCAGCAATAGAAGTTGTGAAGCTGGGTTCAGACATTTCTTGCTATGAGTTTAGGCATACTAAGTGTAGGAAACTGTGGAAGGTGTGCTGGATTCCAGTGCTTGTAAAAGGACATGTGTTTGTCAAGTCCGTGTTAGGATGGCTATACTTAAAAAGAGAAGTTTGCCATGCACATGACATGTAGGTTTTTTTCCCTCTACAGACCAAAATTTGTATACTGAACTTTGTCTTTGGTTGCGCTTCATTTTCTAAAGGCTACAGAAAAAAAGGCCGGGTTTCTGTCAGAAGAGGTGTCTTTTACTGGCTTGTGGCTAGCAAGAACTAGCATCCTTCCTCTCCCCAAGAAGCAGAAATCATAAGCAGAAAAACTCCTCCTATTTTGCCATAGAGATTCCTTCTCAGCAGAGAAAACCACAACATCCAGAGATATTGGCATATAATAGCAGAGATAACTATAATATAATATCGCTTACTGGCACTGCAATAAATCAGACATTTACAATTTTCAGGACTTCTTGTCCTAAATGTCAGAGAAGCAAAACAGTCTGAAATGCCATTTGAATAACGAGAGTCTTGGAAATTCCTTAGTGGTCTGAGAACAAGATCTTCCAGAGTATTTTTTCCTGTTAATGAATTATGAAATTAAATATTATCTAGGGGGAGAGAGAAATAATTCCTTAAAAAATGCTATGCTTCTGCAACATTGAAATTTTTGAGGTGAAGAGCATGGAGTCACAAGAGTGTTGTTGCCTGTCACATGGGCTGCAGATTAATAAGCATATTAATATGACATCCTAAGTGGTTGCTACAGCTTCAGAACTGTCATTAGGGAAAAAAAAAAGTGGTCTCAGAATATTTTTTCTAAGTGCAGCCCAGGAAAAATAAACCTGTCTGTGTGGGAGTGGAGTGCCTCAGCCCCAGGCTCAAAGAAAGGCTGCTCTTCCTGAAGAGCTCAGGAGACACAACAGGGAATTTTGCCTGAACAGTTCAGTGCTAATTCCCTTAGAAGATGTTGTGGATCTCTGCCAACATGAATATCACCTGAGTTCTGTAACTGATTAAATCCTCATAGTGAGTAAGTCTATGTACCATGGGCAGATTCTTGTCTCTGGGAACCTGGTGTGCTGACAGGACTGCCTAATTGCAGCAGAACTTTGGAAACTTGCCTGGCTGCCTCCTCCCACTGTCCTGGGCCACCTGTCACCTTTCTGAGGGGATTAAGGTCCAAAGCTATTCAATTCCATTCATTACCCATTGTCAAATTCCCTTTACTTAAAAGGGAATAGAGACCTTTATTCTTAAGTGTGCTCTTTGAAGGCAGAAGTGGCATGTTTGAGTGTCCTTGAGTAGCTATTACAGGAATAGAGTGAAAATGTTATTTCTCTTCTCTCTTCGATTTTTTTTCCCTCCAAGCAATCTTGTATAGGGATGGCAGAGTTCCTGATACTCTCTGCTTCTGACTCTTTAGGATCAAGCACTGTTGATTGAGCCATCCATCTTCACACGAAGTCATCGCTGTTAGTGAATTGAACTACTGTGAGTAGAAATGTCCTTTACTGTTCTAGAAACTGATACAGACCAGGAAGAAATAAACCAGCAGAATATCTTCATCTAAATTAAATAGATTTTCAATTCCCAGGAGGGTTCCACTTAACAAAGCGTGAGCAGAGTATAGATATATAGATATGCAAAGACTAACACCAGTTTTGGACGATGGCAGATGTTATTGCTTGAGTCTTACCGAACTCTCAGCCATCAACAATACAATCCAAACAAATACATGAAGACAGAACTTGTACATTAATGTTGCATCTTTAAAATATTATTTTCTGTGGGATGCCCATGTCCTCCCTCCCAAGCAAATGCTTTGGACTCTCAGTGGCCATTTGTTTTAGTTGGGAAGCTGGATCACTGCTGCTCCTAGCAGGCACCCATATCACAGGCCAGAGAAGCACTGCCCACCTGCTGGCCTCCAGGACCAGGCTGGTCACAGAAACTGAGCTTGTGTGCTAGAGCTGATCACATCCCACACTGTGATGGACACTGAGAATATTGAAGAACTGCAGCTGGCATGGGATGAGTGAGCAGTTAGCCCATTAGGTTTTGTTAGCTGATTGCTAGGCAGAGATATGAAAGATTTATTATAAGGATAACTAGATCTGAGAAACTGGTGTGTGAGAGAGTAGAAACTCTATTTTAATCTGCTTTGAAGCAGTTCTTACTGAAGCAAATTCTAAAGGCAAAAGCTATGTATTTGAAGACAAAAGGATATTGAATTGGCACTCTCAAAATAATCTACTTCAAACTTTTGCTGTTTATAGTCTTAGTTTTAGATCCCAAACCCCCTTATTTATATTGGTGTTGATCCTTATCTTTAAAGGCTCTATGATATATGAGATAATAAGCTGTTTCTGTTTTAGAAGTGGTTATGAAGTGGCCATTAGCAGATAATTATAAACAGTTTCTTCTTTTTTATAGCAATGTAATAAACCTAAAGATAATGGATCTCTTTCCCTGGGGACATAAGTGCTACATATAAACTTAGGAATAGTGTATCCCTAATTTATTTCCAGGGGAAACAGCACATGTCTTCTTATTTAACGTCACAAAACACGTAGATGTGATTACAGTTCTTTATGTAAATGATTTTTCCCATTGTTTTTCACCAGAGTCTGCGCTACCTTTTGCATACTGGAATTTCCTTTATTTCAGAGCTCTACATCCACCATGTTGCCGTGTGGAACAGCTCTGTCCTTTATTCAGTGTCTGGTGCGGAAGAAAAACATTGGCGGTGAAAGTCTTGAGGACACGAAGTTGTGCCGATGCTTATCAACACTGGACCTTATAGCCCTGGGAGTAGGAAGTACCCTGGGTGCTGGTGTTTATGTCCTTGCTGGAGAAGTGGCCAAATCCGATTCTGGACCTAGCATCATTGTTTCTTTCCTAATTGCTGCCATTGCATCTGTGATGGCAGGTCTCTGCTACGCCGAGTTTGGCGCTCGTGTTCCCAAGACTGGTTCTGCATATTTGTACACTTACGTTACAGTAGGTGAACTGTGGGCTTTTATCACTGGCTGGAATCTCGTTTTATCCTATATTATAGGTAAGCTTAAGAACAAACACTGAGGCAGCAGATAAAAGATACAGATCTAGGGCTGTTTTTCTTTTCTGTCTCTACACTTAGCTACTGTTTCTTTTTACTCCTTCTGAGATTAAACAACCAAAGTAGTTTGATTAGGTTATTTGCTTCTGAGCATCACCATTGCAAACAGGTTTTATGCAAGATATTTTTGTAACGTGTGATGTATGAGCCACATACCTTGTAGGAAGATTGTGTCAGACAATTCTGTCATGATGCACAAGAATAAATAAGATCTATTTGCCTTCTTTGGTCAGCAAAAATAATTTCAGTAACATCAATAAGCTTTTTTTTTTTTTTTTTTTTAATATATACAGTAAGGGTATTTACAGGGACTCCACTATAGAATCTTACAGGAAAGTCATGGTGTTTAAGTACTAACTTGCTACTACATCATTGTGCTAATTAAGCACTGTCCTATCAGGTAATCCCAACAAATACAAAGTTGACCAGATTTGAATAAAATAAATATTTATGTGGCAAATAGTATAACAGGTATTTCAGTGATTCAGCAGAGATAACATTTTTGGATTCCAGAGGAATATGTCCCAAACTTCCATTATATTGTGTATGAACACACCTAGCTTTAGATGTGTACCTACAAGATGGTTACTCAGATCATTACAAAACTGATGTTCTCCAGTATTGTATTAAAATGTATTTCATGAGAGGAGAGTTATACAAATAAGATTGGCCAAATTCTATTTGGCCATGCACTCTTTGCCACAGAGAGTCTTAATTTTAAATACAGACTCTAGCAACATATGTCTTGCCATTAATTTTTTTTTTTTTTTTTTTGCTTTGCTTAGAGGTGGGCAAACTTTCCTCTATGTTCTTTCTTAAAGCGCTTTCTTTTGTTACTTTTTATTGATTAACATATGTCACAGAAATTAGAAATAGCTAGAAATAAGCTTCTTCCAGGATCAGGCATAAATGACACAGCAATAATTTCTGCAATCTCTTTGAGGCATAAAATTGTATATTTTGGTTCTAGAAAATCTTGTTACCATTTAACAAGCAAAATTCTTAAACATTAAAATTCTTCATCAAAATAGACATCACAGGCTCTGCTTCTTTAAATACGAGTAGCAACAGGCATAGTTTTGCTTCCTTTTCTGTAGAGGTAGCTGTATCCCACTGTATGAATGTAAGACCCTAAACATGCATGTGTTTTATGAAGGTACATCAAGTGTAGCAAGAGCCTGGAGTGGCACCTTTGATGAACTTCTTGGAAAACAGATTGGTCATTTCTTCAGTGCCTACTTCAAAATGAATTACTCCGGGCTAGCAGAGTATCCTGACTTCTTTGCAGTACTCCTTATATTACTTTTATCAGGTAAGAAAATATATGGCTTAAGTTATTGTGGTTGTGATATTTTACACTTAAAAGTGCTAAATTGTAGGGTATTGCACTGAAAATACCTTGAGGAAGTTTAGAGCCACATTCTGTGCTGGCACAATGCTCTGTGAATTAAATGTATACAACCAAACTTTCACATGCATCCTCTTCTCTTGAGACTGAGACATGAACTGATCTCTTGTCAGTAGTTTTTTTCTATTAAACCCATTATACAGACTTTTGGTAACAGGAAAATTACACAGTTCTCTGTGTTTTCATGGCTCTATCACCAATAAATGCTTTCAGAGTGGCCTGGAGGTTAAGCATGTAGTGGGCATTTGTAAGGGGGTTATTCCACCTAAATTGTTCACTTATTTGGTATATAATAACGTTCCTTTTCTTAAGTCTTCAGTTGTTTATCCTAGAGTTTACTTGACCTAAAGGGCACCCCAAGGAACTTGTATGGACCAACAGACCAATTTGACAACTGAGTATGCTTTTCCTGTCTACTCTTCTAAGTCTTGTTTTTGTCTTTACTCATGTATCATGCTTTAAAATCACAAACCCTGACACTAGCTACATGGTATTTTAGGGATCAGAAAGCTCAAAAATACTGCAACTTATTTCCATATTTGCATGTAACAATTATTTACCATATGGAAATGTTACTAGTGCCACTGGGAATGAAGGAAGCAGAAGTGTATTCTAAAGTGTGCAGTTTGTTTTCAGGCAATACTAGAAGCATTTCAATATTCAGTAGAGGTCTTACCCATATCTCATACACTTGTCAAAAGCAGAAGCTTTTCTTGTCTGGAAAGTGAAACTAAGTTATATATATATATATATATATATATAAAACCTGTTCTTTGGTTCTCTTGTTCTAAGTGGATTTTTTTTTTTTTTTTTTTTTTTTGGCACAGGAAAACATTTTTGTTCTACCTACTGCTAGAATGAATGACCAGTGCATCTGAAGATTTATTAGGTCTCTGTACATAAAAGAACGGCTTCCTGTACTTAGGAAGATCTGGGAGTTGGCTTGACTAGATTTAGTCCAGCATTCTGGCACATTTTTGGCTCAGAATTGCCTGTAGGACCAGTTCAGACCCTTACATCCTCAGGAGGGTTGGGAATTAATGTGGAATATAACTTAAGCAGACCTTTCAGTTTCACCTCTTCCAAATAAAGGAGACAAAAAAATAGCACCCTGAAAAGCAGAGCACTGAAACTCCACAAACCAAAATACACTGTCCTAGTTTAGACACTGACATCTTTTATGCTTTCTCCACTGCCATTGCTTCTTCAGAACATGAGAATTAGAGGTTCTTGAATAAAGGGGAAATGTTTCCCCTGTTCGTCACTGCTACTGTGTTTTCATTTGTGTCCTGTCTTTTCATCCCTACCATCATTCCTTCTTCACTCCTTTTACATTTGTGCTGCAAATTGCCTCTCTAGGTGTCTGATAAGAAGCCAAACCCCCAGTGACTGAATTGGGTGGAATTCCCTATTGCTGAAAGGAGGGGCAGTGGGGATGGCTCAGGACTGTGTGTGCCGAGCATGATACAGTAATTGGATTGTGAGCTGTGTAAAGCTGAGTCATAGGAGTAGCAGGTGATGTTTTACAGAAAATGTTATGTGCTAAGCACAAAGACAAGTACACAGAAATCTGGGGTTTGGGTTTTTTTGGTTTTATTTGGGTTTTTTTGGTGTGTTATTTTTGGGTATTGTTTGTTTAATTTTTGGGGGTTTTTGGGTTTATTTTTATGTGGGGTTTGGTTTTTTTGTTCTGTTTTGGTTTGGTTTTTTGATAAGGAAAGGACTTTAAAAATGCACAAACTAGGATTCACGCTGCATTAGGCTGATTGAGACATTGCCTTTTTGGGAAAAACTGGGCTGAAGAAAGCATACATCTATTTCAATAAAAATGACATTGGTAAAGAAAACCTGAGCAGCTCATAAGATAATTTCTGTGTTCTGATAAGATAGCAAATATCTCATTAGAAGAGTCAGAAACTTTTTAAACATTATTTTGAGAGGCTTAAAATTTTCAGACTTAATCTCTAAATAATGAGGGAGAGTGTGTATGTGATATTAGTGAAAATGGTTAGATCACAAAGGACTTGTGAAAATTTTCCAGATGTATTTAATTTTTCCTGATCTGCTCACTGCCTGTTCCATTAAACTGCTAACACTCTAACAATTAAAAGTGTTAAAAATCTAATGATAAAGTAGAATCCCAATGGAATAACTTTCAGATTGTTTAAATGTAATCTAAAGCCATGTGTGTTTGGTATCTGACTTTTCTAGAACCTCTATGCATCAGTGTTACAAGCATGAGGTGTGCATTTCTTTTAAAGCTGTTATTAATGAACTAGGAAATGGGAATTACTGTGATGGATGTGCCCTGAAAAATGTAGAGTAAATCAATTACATTGTTAATTTAATAATTGTGCTTCTTTTCTTAATCTAACAGATAATTCTTCTGTAAGGAATATATTCTACCAATCTGTTTTTATGAAGCATAGAATTCTTGTAGCTATTTACTCCATGGCATAAAACAGAGATATGGATTGGCATCTCAGAGGAGTAAAAAGTAGCCATTGCTAAAAATACTTTTAAATACTTAAAGAAGAAGCTTTCTTTTTTGTGGTTTCAAATATATTTGCCTATTGTTGTGCTGTTAAAAAGTCTAGTAAGTTTGTGATTTTTTTTTTTAATCTAGTGAGGCTTTTTCAGTATTATTCAAGGTACTGCATATATTTATATACACACACATACCTTCTTTTACACGTATCCCTTGTTTAAATGCCATTTTAATAGTATAATGGGCCATTCACATCTATAAAATATTTTTATTTTACAGGTCTTTTATCTTTTGGAGTGAAGGAGTCTGCATGGGTGAATAGGATTTTCACTGCTATTAACATCTTGGTCCTGGTCTTCGTTATTATTTCTGGTTTTGTGAAAGGTGAACCTGACAACTGGAATATAAGTGAAGAATATCTCAGAAACTTTACTGCAGTAACAGAGTAATTTTAAAAAATATATTTACTTTCTCATATTTCAAGCAGTTTTTTCTTACACATACTTCATCATAATAAACACTGTTAGTGTTTTAATATGTTTTGTCACAAACTTCAAAGCAAGTAAGATGATAGTTGCTTGATTGGGACATTCTTTCTTTTGCTGTTATTTTTCTCTTTCTTACAAGCTTGGACATAAAAATGCATCTCATGCAGTTTTGTAAAGCAGATCTCTATCATGATAAGAACCCTTAAACACTTCTTTTCAGAGTTCTAGGGTAGGAGGATGCATGTATTTATCCTACCAATAATGAGGGGAAAAAAATTTCTTTCTGCTGTATTTTTGTTCTTTATAGGAACCGCTCATCCTACGAAAATGTGACAAGTATGTATGGGAGTGGTGGCTTTATTCCATATGGTTTCACAGGAACATTGGCTGGTGCTGCAACCTGTTTTTATGCTTTTGTTGGATTTGACTGCATTGCAACAACTGGTATAGTATTTATATGTGTGTGTATATATGTTTAACATGGGGATATTTTTGCAAAAAAAACCCAAAGAACCACAAACAATATAATACTCTGTCTACTCTTCTTACTTTGCTTTCTTCCAAAGCTCTTTCAGTCAATGTAGAATGAGTCTAAGTTCATTCCTGAACATAGCTATCTTTCTGGGAAGAAGGAGGAGGTTCTACTTATTTAATTCCTGTTGTAAAGAAATGATTGATGCTTTCTAAGTCTGGAAAGGGCTTAGTATACAATTTTTCTGCTCAAATAGTGTTTCTCACCTGCTCAAATAATGTTAATCACCAGCTCGTTGTTCTCTGAATAAGGTCTCATTCCCAATGGCTGATAGGGAATGAGTACATTGAGTACATTGAAAGTGTAGGTAAATAACTAAAAATTATGGGCTTGGAATACATAAAATACATAAAATGTATTTTATGACCTTTAATTTACCACTATTTTCTGACAACAAAATACCAAGTTCTGTTCTGTGTGTCTCAGTTTATTTTACTCAGGTTTTTAAAACTTCTATTACAGATACGATTCTCATGACTTAGATTAACAAGTGATTTGTCTTTGATGTTTGGTTTGATTGACATCAAACATTTGATGTTATCTCTTAAAGCTGAAGGGGAAAATTAGTATGAATTTTTGGTGGGGCATTTTCTTTTTCTTTTTTCAGGAGAAGAGGTCAAGAATCCTCAGAAAGCCATACCCATAGGAATTGTGGTGTCCCTACTTGTCTGCTTCATGGCCTATTGCTTGGTTTCAGCTGCACTGACACTTATGATGCCATACTATCTGCTAGATGAGAAAAGTCCTCTGCCAGTAGCATTTGAATATGTTGGATGGGGTCCTGCTAAATATGTTGTAGCAGTGGGATCCCTCTGTGCTTTGTCTACAAGGTAAAGACATTGAAATACTAATTCTATTGGGAAAAGCTGATGAATAATATATTGCATTTGTATGTATGTTTGTGTGTTCATTTTTAAGGCTCAGTCTATGCAAAGAATTAACAATAAGTATTATAAGCAAGTATTAAACTTAAGCAAGTCTAGTTGACAGTAGCTGTGTTAATTTAGGCTCTTTTTTTTCTTAACTGTACTGTTATTGAACTCTACCTCTTTGTAGAAGCTTATTACACGAATTTTTTTAATATAAATATTTTCAAACATATGACCTGCAAGTTATCTTTATTAACTGACAGAGTAAACCTCCCCCATTTTTCCTTTTTCACTGTTTATTCCCTGTGACTCAGCAGCTTTATGGGCTCCGTGCATTTGCAGGCAAAATTGAAGACAGCAGCTCCACTCTTCATCTTCATTGTCTGTCTCTATTTTCCTCCAGCAGCCAGTCTATCTTCTGATGTTATCCCTTCATGTGGTTTCTGTGTGTGTGTTTGAGATGTAGATTATAGCTGTGAAAATATTATAATTTATTCCCCTTTGTGAAACTGTGAATGTAACCTTAGCATATTATTTTGATTAAAAAGATCAGGGAGGGCACAATATATATTAGTATATATTCAGATATATTACACCCCAATTGTAATATGATACAAACACTTTAATAAAATAGAAAATTGCTTGATACTTTAATTTAGGGGTAGAAAAATGCTGATGCCAATCTTTTGCCTGAATTTATGTAGTAAGGAGTCATTTCCATGGCTTCAGTGGTAAGAACACTGGCTACCTTTCCACAAAGGAAAACAAGTTGCCTGTGGAAGCACTAATACTACCAGCACTCCAACATAACCCTGTAGGCATTAGCCTGAATATGAGTTTGTTGACTGTGGGCAATGGTTTAAAAGGAAAGGAGCATTTAGGTGCAGAAGGGGATAGAAACATGAAGTAGTTCCCAAGGACACTGAAAGAAATGTAGGACTGACTGAAGAACGTCATAGTTACACAGTTCATCCTGGGATTATTTTTGTTATTTTCTATATATTTCTCATGGTCCCCTCAGGTTGGAGGACTTCACTGATTTTTTTTCTTTACATTGATAAATAGTAGAAGTTATATATAAGAAACTAGATTAAAGAAATTAACACTGGAAAACAAAGTGAACTGAGATGGTAAGAAATTTTTAGGAATTTGAACTGTCAGTCTCTTTTTCCAGTGTGTTCTGAAGAATTATATGTACTCCTGTGGAGAGAATAATCTTTTAATCTGTTGACTGATGTTAGTTTAGAACAAAACAAAGAAAGTTGTATTTCAGGCTCCTCAGTTTAGAGGTACAATGAAGAAAAAACATTGGGATGAATTGCTTTTGGTTTCGTGTTACTGGGCAATGTCATGAACTTATTTTGTTGGGTAAAGATGTTTGTTAATACTGCCATTACACGAATGTACATAAAGAAGAGTAGGATAAATGAACAAAGCTAAAACAAAAAAAAACTTTCTGGATTTTTTTTTGGAATGTACCTTCTTTGTGGAAGGTACACTTATACATTAAAATCAGTTCATTTGCAATAAAACTTCTCTTCTGTCTACACTTAATACTTGTGTCCCACAAGCATTACTGGATGTACCTATCACCTGTGGCATGTAAGAGCTGTGCCTTCTTTAAGTGATATAGTTGTTTTTCTAAAGTAAGAAAGGAAACCCTTCACCTGGTTAAAATCTTGTTTGCTTGCTGTAGAGGTTATACTGGCTATGATTTCATCTTTTGTTTTCTTAATTAAAAGTATTTCTCTTTGAGGGAAAGAAACCACCTAATTTAAGAAATATGTTTAAGAGCTTCAAGTTATCAATAGTTTAAAAGCTTTATGTGTTCTAATAACAGCTAAATTAATTAGCTTTACTTCTTCCAAAAAAAAAGTCTTAACACAGCTTACCTAGAGGTGCTTTAATCAAAAGAATTAATCTGCCCAAGTACACTTGTATGGTGCTTACTTCGAATAACTGTAAATCAGCAGGCTTACATGGAAATATAGAGTGTAAGGGATGCTGCTTTTGCTTATTTATTTGCTGCTGCTGACTGACAGACTTTCTACAGGAATACTAAAGCTTAATTGCATAGTTACTGTGATCTGGAACATGTTCCTGGTCCATTAATACACAAGAACTATGGTGATGGGAAGAGAGTTATCTTGGTAATCTAGAATCTGTCTGATGAAGCAATTTCATTACCTAAATTAATATAATTATAATAATAAATCAACTTTTCAGTTAAAAAAAAACCCTATTTGTGTCTGATTTATAGTACCTTGGGCTATGGGGCTTTCTGGTTTTGTCTTACAATCATACATTTTGTCTATACATGCCATTAATTAACATTTTTTATCTTGTCCATGAATACAACTCTGCATGAATTGTGTTTGCCATGTTGCATGTGTTTGCTTTTTACTCAGTCTTCTTGGATCCATTTTTCCAATACCACGTGTAATCTATGCTATGGCGAAGGATGGGTTGCTTTTCAAATGTCTAGCTCAAATCAATTCCAAAACGAAGACCCCACTAGTTGCTACTCTATCGTCTGGTGCAGTAGCAGGTGAGACTAAGAGTTGATCCTTGTAAAGAAAGGTGCACTGCTAAACACGTTGAATATATGGAAATAAACCACTGTTATGCAGCTTTGATTTGTTTTGGACAAAAATGATCAAATCTGCTTTTTGCTAGGTAAAGTAGTCTACCAGTAAAACTTTTCTCTATCTCAGATTTTTAGTTGTTGGTTTATCTCAAGTGCTTTCAAAGCCTAGGGTCAAAATAAACAGTAACCCAAAACCAAGGACATCAGTCGCCCAAACAAAATCCTAAGAGCAGCAACACAGAGCCTAAGCAAAACTATACCTAAACCCATTAACTCCTCCAAGCTTTCTTTTTGTGTAGTTGGGTTTACCAGTAAAGCATTGTGCTTTTGATAACCTGTACTTGAACTATACATTTTTCTGTTCTAGTCTTCTCGGCTCTATGTTCCCTTTGCCCCGAATTCTGTTTGCCATGGCACGTGATGGTTTACTCTTTAGTTTTCTTGCCAAAGTGAATAAGAGGCAGGCACCAGTTTCTGCCACCTTGACAGCAGGGGTCATCTCTGGTAAGCTCTCAAAGCCCATGTTACTTAAAACTGAGATTTAAACACTCTATGCACGTGCATGGTACTTTATATTTTTGAAAAGGGCTGCTTGTTAACTTCCCTTGCATGTACAATGGGAATAAAATTACTGAGTAATCAGTGGGTGTAAGAACTCCAGATCAAGCAAATCATGGTGGTGGTGATGGCCTTAATGCCACAGAATTTAATTTTTAATTTTTTTTTTTTTTTATATTTACCCCCATATGGTGAATAAGCTTGTTACTTAATCTGAGTCCCTTAGGCCAATGCACTACTGACAGGGCTTCCTTGTCTGATGTAGACCTAATATATTTATGCCATCTGTACTGGGGGGAAAATAACTGTCGCTTTTTTTTAATGAGATATAAGAAAAAGAATTACTTACAAAGCAGGACAACTTTTGTGTCAACTACAAGGATTTTTTAAATTGTCTTCCAAAGAAAATGATAGTTGTTGTTTAGGCTTACCAAGTTGTGGTTGAGGGGCATGCGCGTGTTGGGGGCTTATGTATCTGCACATATATGTATACACATACATGCCTGCATATATTTTACCAAAACAATCATTTGGGAACCGTTGCCAACTCCAATGGTAAATTCTTACCATTCAACTCTTTCACGCATTTTCGTATTTCTTGCTGAGGCACATACAGCTGTGCCCAGATTTCATCATCATTTTAGTGTGATGTTTAATCATCCCAGAAAACTGGAAGCTTTAGAAGTATTTAGCTCAAAGGAAAATAAATAAGTTTTTTAAGTAATTCAAATATCAAATACATGCCTTAGAACTTTTAGCAACTTTGACTAAAATTAATCTCAAATAAGAGGTTTAGGAATGAGAGGCAATATTTTTATTTATAGTCAGGGTCATTCTCAGATGCCACAAGACTGGAACTGCTCAAACTATGTAAATTTTGAGGTCAAACTGCTCAAATTTGATGATAATGCAGAAAGGCAGAGTCATTGTCCAGATAGTCCCACATGAAGCCTTATCAGTTCCCCTTTCTTTGGTCAGAGTACAAGTAGATTGCATAGCGTTACTTTTATTATTTCAACTTTATTTTATTTGAATTTATCTTAATGACATATTCTTCTGTAAGAATTTTGAAGTTGCAGTTTTGTGGGATGAAATCAAAATCTTTATGTGAAATCACAGTAATGATGAGAAGAAAGGATAGTGTATTACCCAGCTGGTAAAGTGATTGGTATAGTTACACAGCCGTGCTGTAGCTCTGTAGCAGCTGACATTGGACTGCTTCTAGACAATCTTTAGGAATTTGGTGCATCAACACCTCACTGGAAAACAGCTTTATCTACTGCTGGAGAAAGAGTAATTTATTTTCTATTTTTTTTTTTAATCCATATTTGGTAATTTGTGGTTATATATAGTTTTGACAGAATAGTTGTGGATGTATGCAACAGCTTATATTATCTGACTTTTCTATGCATTTGTAGCACAAATAGTTTTACAGCTGTAAGAAATGCTAAGAAGATGAGATGCTCAATTAAAGTTATCAAGTCAAGACTACAGCTGAGGCAACCATCACGTGTTATTACATGACTAATCTTTTCATGGGTGGTAATTGCCATGGCAGACCTCTGCACATAGCAAAATGTTTTGGTGTCAGTCCAGTTTTACCATAAAGGGACCTACTGTTGTCTCTTAGAGTAGAACTAAGACAGGTGGAAAAGAAATACGCTGCCTTTTTTTCTCTTGGTATAGAAGAATTACTAAGAAGAAACTTGCAGGCATTTTTCATCTTGTTTCTAAAGTTAAAGAATATCCAGGCCACAGAGTAGCCTTTCAAAGATGGGATTAAAAATTTACTATAGCTACTGTACATGAGGTTTTAGTAGGTTCTGTTCTTCCTCAGCTTTGCTCTTTAGAGCATGAAAAGCAGAGAGGTATTCAAAAATCTACACTGCAGATTGCCTTTTAGATTTAGAAAAGTCCACTCTCATTGAACAAAACAGGATGGTCTTTCTTAATTGGAAAAAGAGACCCCCAGGTTATATAGAAGTTCTGTAATCCAGCAGCCTTGTTTTCAGAAAACCACATTTTGCTTCCTCCTTTAGGATCAAATACCAGTATTTGTCCATGTGTTTGTGCCATTGTGCAGCTGTCTACAAATATTTTAACAAAAGCATACCATAAATATTAAATATAAATAGTTTGAATGTAGAATAATTTGTGTGTGCATATACACACAGTGTATAAAGACTATATTTAATATTTTATTTTGATGTTGAGATAACTGATGATTCAAAAAATCTGCATCTCAAAAATATTAATAAAATACAAGTCCTTTAAGAGGCTCTTAAAGTATGTGTATGTATTTCGAATCAATTGGAATTAGGATTTCATTTACTGATAGCTTCTCCTAATTTCTTTATAAATAATGTGCTTTGTTGTGCAAACAGTATAGACAAAAAAAGATACACCAGAATCTCCAAATGAATATGGCATTAGCTTTTACAAACAGGATTTCTTTAATTACTTCCACTGCCATGGAAGTTTCTGCCTCTGAGTTCAGTGATCATAAGAATATTAATTCTTAAGAGATGTTACTGGTCATTCCTGAAGGTGAACTGAAAACTATATTTAGTAAGATAACCATTAAAAAAACCCTACAAAACTATTTTACTTGAGACAACTCCTGAAAGTCCTCTTCACACAGAGCTCTTTCCCAGCTCAGCAGAAATTTTACATCACAATTATTTTTTCTCGATTTGGCAGTGGAATCCATCCCTTCAGCTTTGGTGAGATTCTGTTGCAGGATCTGAACTTCATTCTGTAAAAATTTATTTTTAATATGGCCTGAATTCAACAATATGTGTGCAAATATTTCTATCTGAATGAGTCCGATATGAGCGTTTGATTATGCAGCATGACTGTATGACTGACTCATCAGTGCCTATCTATATGAATGAGATTTTCAACTGTAGAGAATTAGATATCTAATGATACCAGTAGCTTAAAAAATGTGGTTTTAAGGATTATCATGATTTCACTCCTATTGCTGTCAGTAAAACAATAAGTTACACTGCAGACAGATTTTTAAATCTTAGCTTCATATATTTTTAATATTAATCTTGGCACTTACGGTTAGACTTGATGAACTTAAATTTTTTTCCCAGTGTGGATGATGCTACAATTCTGTGTCAGTCTCCTGAAATTTTTTTCCATTTATTTTCTTTTTTAGCTGTAATGGCATTTCTGTTTGACCTAAAGGCTTTAGTGGACATGATGTCTATTGGCACACTTCTTGCTTATTCACTTGTGGCAATCTGTGTCCTCATTCTTAGGTGAGTCAAAAACATCCTTTGTATTCTACTGTGGGTTTTTTTTTAGTTGGTCAATAAATAAACAGAGGTCATATTTACAATACATGTTTTTAGTTAGATAGGCAGTAGCAGTAAGCATATAAATGATTTCTAAGAAGCAGTGACTCCTCAAAGAAAACAATGGTATATTGTTACATAAGTATAACAGTGAGTCGGGTTAAAGCTTCTGGTGAAATTGAGTCACCTTTTATTTTTCAGAATAAGTATTGGTCCAAGCATCAGTCCCAAAGGTACTAAATATAAGCTTGAGTACAGAATTCAGGAATGATACTTGTATATGAATACAATCTATGCTATACATCAGGCATATTGCATTTTGGGGACTATACGTGCAAGGAGTTGATGTTCCAGGTGGTTGACAGGATGAACAAGTTCTAATAGTTGCTTTGTATTGTCCTAGTCAAAAATGTAAGACCAGACAAATGTTTTAAGATGTTGTGGCGCTAGAAGAGAGTGCAAATATGAATGAGATTATTAATACTTCTCAGTAAAACTCTGGTATTGGTCATGTGTATAAAGCTATGGAATTATATATTGCTAGCTACAGATCATTTGTTATGTATTGCTCTTCTTATTTTAAAAAGTCAGCCTTTATTACTTAGGGCTATGTAATTAACTTTGAAAAGTATAACACCTTAAATTCAGCTCAAATTCATTGTTGCAATAGTTTACACTTTAAAAGAGAAGCCTATTCTATTTAGAAAGAATTCACTTACCATAAGTATTTTTAAAAATATATTTAAAAGCTAACAAAGCAGATGTCAGTTTTCAGGTAATGCCAGTTAGAAGCCTCTTAAAGCAAGCAAGTCAGAAGCAAGATCCCTTACTCTTTCCTTGCTGTGGACTACCAGACCCTGTCCTTTCTTTCTGTATGGGACTGGTCATTTATCTGAGCTATTGCTGCATTCAGATAGCTTAAAAAAACTGCCAAAAAAAAAAATCTCCAAACAAACCAATCAAAAAAGTGAGTTGCTGTAGTATTTTTATATATGACACTGACTAGTAATGCTGTTGCAATGCAGTTATAACTTGGGGAATTCTAATGTTCTACTGAAAAGAATTTAGTACTTTAGTACATTCCTAGATTCATATTGCTTTAAATCTAGAAGTTATGGTTATTACTCTGTTTTATGCATAGATACCAACCCACCTATGAGGAACCAAAATACTCTCCAGAAAAAGCAGCTTTGGCTGCAGCTGAAAGGGAATCTGCAGTAAGTGAGTCACAGATAAGCATGATAGAAGAGAATCACTTCCGTCTTCAGGCCTTGATTAATCCATCCAGTTTACCAACTGGGCAGACTGCAGCTATAGTTAACTTCTTAGTGAGCCTCTTAGGTAAGTATTTGGCTGTTCAAACTCATGTTAACATTTATACTGGAATTTTACTAAAGACAGAATTGAAAATCAGCTGATAACATGCCTTCTTTCAGTCATACATGTGTCATTCTGTGCTTTTATCCTTTTAACCTGTGGTAATTTTCATTTGGTTAAACATGTTCATAACAACAGTACATGTTGAAGCTTACTATCACTTTTCTTAAAAGTCACTTCCTCTTCAACGCAGAGATTAAGTGACCTATTTCTGTAATTTTGTTTTTCATACAGCTTGCTTGATTTGTGGCTTGAGTGTCCTCATTACATATGGGATTCATTTCATTGCTAACTTGGAGCCCTGGAGTATTGGCCTTCTTGCTTTATTGGTGATCTCCTTGGTAGTTACCATTCTCCTCATCCAAAGGCAGCCTCAGAACCAGCAGAAAGTAGCCTTTATGGTGAATATGAATCACTTATTCTCTGTGTTATTCTCTGATGACAGCTTTGGATGGATTCTAATGAGTGGGAGAGAGAACTTAAAGTTGGAAAACAAGTCAGAAACTGATGAGTGTACAATCACTTGTCTCTGTAGTCTGCAGTCCTTTGAACCTAAGACAGAGTATAAGTACTTTCATTTTGCACTTTCACTTATGTTCTAAGATCAGTTATTTAATGGAAATAATGAAGTATAGTGATGCAGGTCAAGGAATCAGGTGGTAGTGGGGGAGCATTTCAGAATAAGAGAGATAGATATATTATTTTTCAGCTGTAAATACAGGAATTCATTAGTGTATGTCCTGCACAAACTGGAAAGTTTTTCTATAACCTTAGAAAATATATATTAAACATAATGTATTTAAAAGTTTAAGATCTATAGAAACTGCTGGTTAAACCCAGTGAAAATTTCACTACAACACCAAAAAAAATTAAATTCTTTCTTAGTGATTACACGTTACTTCTAGTTTGTGTTACATACCTGAAGTGTGACATGCAAAAAAATTTATGTTTAATGGAAACATATTAACTATTTCCTTTTAGGTTCCACTATTACCATTTTTGCCATCATTGAGTATACTGGTAAATATTTACTTGATGGTACAATTAAGTGGAGAGACTTGGATGAGATTTAGCTTCTGGATGTTACTTGGTATGTACTTCTGTTCATTTCAGTCAGTTCATACAGTTCATACCGAACTCATGATTCCTATCTCAGGACATTAATTTCCTTCAGATATTTGGAAAAAAATCTCTGTGAATTAATAAAAATCAGCTAATATTTCTGATAAAAAGGAAGATCATGCTTCAGAAGAAGTATTTATATTCAGTTAAAATTACAAATATAGTTTTTAGGTAATAGGAAGAATTCCAATAAACTGTGATTTTTTTTCCTAGTAAGTATAGCCAAAATTATGTAGAAACCTGCTTGTAACAGGTTTCTTCCCAGTATATAATTCTGTCTTCTTTTAGATCTAGAAAATTGTATTAATTCCGTCTAGACGTGAATTAGAGATAATAACTCTAATTTCCATAACTTATTAGAGCATTTACTTATGCAAAAATGATGCACTGGAATTTCCTGTAGAAACTGCTTCAGGGAAAACCTGAAGCATGAACTCTGATTCAGATATCTGAAGAAGAATATTCTTTGGCAAAAAATTCAACCAGAGAAAAATATCTACTTTTTCATGCATTACTTGCCTGAAAACCTTATGAACTTTTTTTTTTTTTTTTTTTTTTTACTTTTGGAAGGCTTCCTCATTTACTTTGCTTATGGCATCAGACACAGTGTTGAAGGTCATCATGGTGATGGAGATGATGATTCTTGTTCAGAAAATAGTGGGATGCAAGAAAAGAACCCAGTGGATGACCCTGAAAATACAAATGAAAGGGATCAATTTCTTCCACATGAAAGGACAAGTGAATGTTAAACTCTGCAATCTTTTAAACCTTCAATTGGCATTTTACTTGCAGACTGAAATTTCAGAAGCTTTCTGCCAACATGTGCCTCTTGAAATTGTTTACTACAAGGCCTAACTGATATTTTGGACAAGCTGCTAATCCATCTTCATGATTTCTGAACTGACAGCATGGAGATTAATACTTAATTTTTTTTTTTAAGTACCCTTTGGCAAGCAAAAATTTGGAGACATTGTTTGAAGCGTCATCCAAAATCACTGGCAATCATCAGATATGAAGAATTTTGGAACTGTCTGCAAGAAGTTCTGAGTATTAGACAATCCATTGTGAACATAAGTGCCTTTCATACCTTCTCCTTATCTTTGTTATATGTTTTGGTAACAATCGAAATTCTCTCTGTTGAAGTAACTCATGGGAGATAAATTTCATTCATATAGGCCTGGAAAGGCAAAATGAATGGTAATTGTATGGATTAGATACTTTGTAAAAATTAGAGAAGCATTTGTTTATGTTAAAAAAAAGGTAATTGCCTATCTTTACTAATCATGACTATTAATCTGTAGTCATGGAGAACTCAAGCAGTGAAGATACTTAAAAGGTTTTTAGTGCCTCTAAATAGCATTCAAGATTTCTACTTAAGTGCATGCCTTTTCTTTGAAGGATGCTTCTCACAAGAGAAGCTCTTTTGTTTTCTGCAAAATCATCTGGGAAATAATCTGTTGGTTACAGTACTGACAGTGGCAATCAGATGTGATTTAGCATATTTTATGCTTTTGACTTCAGAAGGGCCAGAATTTCATCTGACTAATTAATTTGGTACCTACCTCCAGCAGTCATCCAGTTTTCCTCCTTACTACTAATTTTTCTCCATATTGGGGAAAATGTATAATCTCCTTTATACATGTTCCAGAATTGCTATTGCTGAGATTAGCCTTACACATTGCTTTTCCTAAGAAAAATTAATACAGAAAATCCCAGCTTTTTTTTTCAGATGGTAGGGGAGGCTTAAAAAACAAAGGTCTGGGTTTTGGAAAAAAAACTGTATCAAAACAGTATTTCATTGCTTCATTAAGTCTTAAAATATGTGTTAGCATAGCACTTTTTTGTGAGCCAAGCCTACATCCACAAATCCATTAATGTGGGTATGATGTCTAAGTGCTAATTTATGTAAAGAACTAAACTGGTATGGCAATGCTGGCTAAACAATTATTTTAATGCTGGTAAAACCAAAGAATGCTCTTCTTTCAACACAAGTCATGTGAAAGGCACCCAGGTATTTTAACACTTTTTCTAAGCAAGGAGGAGGTTCAAGTCCTATGAAGGATTCCACAATATGAAGTCATTTGCCTAGAATGTATTTATAAAATATCCTTCCCTAGAGTAAGAACTATCTTAGACTTTGTCATGGAGAGTTGCAATCTGTTGCTGGTACTAAGCATTTGTATTAATCTCCATTGTTAGGTATAAGAACTTTTGATGCCATGAGAGCTATGTTGGTTGACAGTGAAGAGCACCTTACTTTTTATAATAGCTAGAATTTTATGAAAAAAAAAAAAAGAAAAAAAAAACTAGTTAGGCTGCTTCTGTCTCTCTCCTTTTTCAGAGCAATAAGTTGTTTTTTTTTTAATTTTAAAATTACTTCTTTCCCAGTATTCTTAAACCCTCAGCTTCAAAAAAGCCATTGCTGTGGGAGCAAGTCAGCTGCACCCATGTGAAGATTTTGCGTGATGTCTTTACAAGCCTACAGTGAAACACAGTTCTTAAAATTCCTTCCATATCTCAGCATGTGGGAAGCACAGACTTTCTGCTATGGTTGTTGATGCCACAGAGCAGGCCAGCCAGGCTCTCAAGGCACAAACGCCTGCTGTTCTGTGCTGTGCAAGGAAGACTCCATCCCTGCCTGAGGCCATCCCAGAGAACATATGTGTGCACACCTGTCCATGCATTTGAATCTGTCTGAAATCAGCCCATAGCGAATTTGATGTACTGGTTAAAATAATTACTGTATTGCACTGGACTTTTCGTTTCAAGGGATACTGCCAGCACAATTAGCTGCTGACTAAAGTGGGTGCTAGCTACGGCCTCTGGAGAGAACTAAAGGAAGTAAATTTTCTAGCTTATTTTCCTGATGGATATGTCAGCACTTTATATATTGACAAATTCCCCTTTCACTTGTATGAATATCTCTCCCCACTTGTTATCAAAATTAATTATTTTAAAATAATAGGATGCGCCTGTACAAGTGTTGCAAAGACAGATTGGAGGAGCTGCAGCACCAGAACTATCCAAATAACTAATGAGATATAAAATGAAATTAAAGGAAAGGCATTGGGTACTTTTAGTTGCTTCAACTGCAGGAAGCTTATTTATATGTGTGTATAGTCATTATGAGTCAGTGGCTGAGTGAAAACAGTCAAGCCAGAAGTAAGATATTTATGGTGAATTTGATGTGCATTTGTATATGTAGTCTGAAAATTCCAGATGCTTTAGCAGGACTCAGCAGAAGCAAAGGACATGCCATGCTAGTCCTTACACAGAAGTGATGGATGCAAGAAATCCTGATCCTTTTCTTACATTTGCTGTATTTCTGCAGTTGCTGAAAGATCAGCTGAAAGCACAAGTCCATTGGAATTAAATAATTATTTTCTAACAGACCTGTTGGTATTGTAAAATATTCTGTGCAAATAATAACTGTACATATTAATACAAAATGTCTACTTTTGAAGGTAGCTTATTGGATTTTTATTTTCTTTGAAGAAAAAAGTTCTCATAACCTTTTTTTTTTTTTTTTTTTTTTTTTTTTGGTACATTCAGGATATGCCATTCCCTAGTTGGCTTCTTTCCCTAGTTCCCTAGTTGGCTTTAAGAAAGTAAGCCAAAGCATATTTAACAGAGCACAAATAAATATTTTTGTTCTGATGTATAGGAGTTATAAAACATTTCTGAATAATTCATGTTAACTGAAGTGGTCTTCCTGTGGTATTCCAGTTCTCATTCTGCAATGGGATTTTTATGAGGTAACTTAGATTTCAGTGTCTGTTATAATGGATAAAACTATTCTGTTAATAATAGTATGCTTTTCCCTGCACAACAAATGCTGTTCAGATTCCTGAAATCTCTCATATAGTGCTTACGTTGCCAAGTGTGAAAGCCATTTTTATTACCTGCTGTTGGAGGACTAGCAGCAATAAATGGCAATCGTAGTGATGCAGAGTTACTTATGTACTTAAGCAGGAATTGACTTGTGTAATCCAGAAACTTTAAATGATACAATGAATTTAGAGGCAAAACTTGGTAAAGCTTAAACATATATTCTGGATATTATTACACAATAAATTTACAAGTCTAGTCAGTTTTCCCCTAAAATTTATGAAAAAAATATATATTTAAGAAATATAAGATACAGTGTTTTCATAGAATTTTTAATAAGTGCCAATATCAATGTGCCATAAGCATCCTGAGGGGGTGACAGTGCAGGAAACCTGTGTGGGACTGTGCAATTGGGTATGAGGCCTTTGACACTGGGACACATTTTTTACAGTAGGAATTTAATTCACAAGAAAATGAAAGCACCTTTTTAATGCTCTTAGGCCCTAATTCCTCCTAAACATGCTGGGAAGTCTGTATGAATAGCAGTATGTTCACTGAAGGCACTGAGGTTACTCGGTGTTAAGCAAATATAAATTTTACAAAGAGAGCGGGTGATATTTCATATAGCATAGGATCTTTGTGTTTATTTTTAATTTCCTGTACCTTTAGTATTTCTTTCTGGTATGTTTTGAGGACCTCTGCATTATTAATAGTTGGACCTTTTCAAAGCTAAATATGATACCTTTACCCGGTCCTGATCTATTTTCCATTTGATCTTAGAAATCAAATTCCTTACATGAGCTGAATTGAAGGATTTCTGTGCATAAACATGCAGACATGCATTACAAAAAACTGTATGTGTATATATATATTTTTTTTGTCAGTTGGACAAATTGTGTTGTTTTTCTGTGTTTTCATGAGCCTTGTACGAGGTCAACTCCAGTTTCACCAAATTTAGTTGGAGTCAGAGTATGAGGATTTGAATATTTAGGATAGCTTTTTTCTTTTGTGGTACCAGAAAGTAAAGCATGAAATATGTGTTACGTATCTTTAGAAACAATTATGTGTGAATAATTTTTAAAAAACATTAGCATTCATATCCATCCTTTCTTTTTGTTTGTATGTACATTTTAGTCATTATTTCTGTATTGTATGCTGCTGAGCATTCAAAGTGTAGATAGTATGATTATGATGCAATTTAAACTGCAAATTTGTATTTCTTTGAAGTGCTCTACCAGAATGAAAAGTCTTGAATTTTTATGAATGTAAAATTGCTTGTATTTAAGAATATGGTGCTTTTTTCCCCAATTTACAACAGAATTGTTACCAGTGACATTTTTAGTTACCTTAGTTTCAAATTTTAATGCAAATTACATTGTTCTTCATTTACTGTAAAACATGCTTTGTGGGATAACAATAGTGCATTTGTTCCATATTTTTAAATAAAGTTGAATATCACTTGTATGTCCTTCATACAGCAGCTGTAACTTTAACCACTACAATAGCTTTAGTTAACACTAAAATAATATAGTAACTTAAAGTCATGAGTATGCCAGATATCTAATGTCATGACATTATACAAGTCATAGTACATTTAAAATAAATAGCATGGTAACATTGTATGCACTGTATAGAGGGAACAGAGAATAACAGCCTTTGATGTGGGCATTTTGTGTTACACTGCCAAACAAGAGATGATGTTAGGTTTGATTTCCAGAGTGGGTGAGTAGCCCTCAGCTTCTTGCTCAACTTTCTGACTTTCTGAAGCACCAAGCCTTGTCCTGGTATTCACCCAACCACAGAGCTGGATAAATAAACTCATTGTCTCCTTGTTCACTTTTTGTGAAAAAAACCCAAACCAAATAACTAACCACAACACTAACACCCCCCCCCCCCCCCATCCCAATCCTTCAAAAAAAACCTTTCCAAACCCCCAAAAGGCCTCAAACAAACCAACCCCAAAATCTTCCTCAATTTTGAATGGTACTGTGAGTATAGCAGGAGAATAAAAGCATGTATCTAGGCAATGAATGACATTAGTGTGGACCCAGAACCTAATTGACAGAGCAAGATCATCATCTGGCACCGTTTTGAAAACTATTTGAGTAGTCATCTTTGTTCACAGACTTAAAAATAGCTATGACAGTATTTTTTCTGAGGTGTATTCTTTGTAAGGATATATATAACAGTATTAATAATCACCTTACTGTACATACAGATACACTAAGACTGTCTTGAAAATCTTGGTCCCATCAAGCAGTGGAATAGGGCCACTGATTTAAATGAGGACAAGTCATTCTGCAAGCATATCATCACATTTAAAATATTACTTGAAAAAATGCATTTAATCTATCAGCTTACTCATGTGGAGGACTGGGGTCCTCACATGAAGGTTTATATTAGATTTTTCTTATGGCTATAAATGAAAATATCTTTCATGCATACGCATTGTAAAGTAGGACATATAAAATTCATAAAATAACATTCTTCACTGTAGACATTATACACATAGGAAAAAGGAATATGCTAGTTTAAATATGTCTTAAAATTAATGCAGTTTGAGTGTTATTTCCATGTACTATTACCATATTTTCCATAATACACTAATACTTGGAGCTCAGACACCATTAGATCATTCATTGACCGACCCTGTGTGTGAAAGCAAAAGGGAAATTTCACCTAGGAAGGCACGTAAGGATTGCTAACAGTAATTTTGCACATGACAGGTAAAAAAAAGTCCACTCTTCATCATAAGCAGCAGTTGTATTTCCACTGCAATTTTGCAGTTTATACTTTTCTTAGTTTTTCTGAGAACTTTTCTGAGTTCTCTCTGAGATTTCATTTCCCTTAAACCAAAGACTGATAACCTTTCTGGATATTCTTGGTACTCTTATTGTTTCAAGGGGAAAACACTTTTTAAATATCCTGTAGCAACAAAAATACTGTTTTTAAAAATTTGTTACAGGTAATGGAGACATGTTTATGATACTGTTAATAGAATGAAAAAAAGATCATGAAATTTCATCATCCAACTCCATTCCTGGGCCCTACTGGTTTCTTTATACTAACCAGGGTGAAGTCTCAGAGCAACGTCAGGCAAGTAAGTCTTCAAACTGCATGTGTATGTATTTATGAGGGTGGGGGACCGTCATAAATACACACACGGACCTTCTAATTTTTTGTGTGGATGCAGATGAAGCCTTTAAATAATCTGTAAATACTCTACTCTCATATCTGGTGTGGCCCTGGGGCTGTGTCAGGGATGCAATTTTTATTTTTATTCACATTGGACTGTGGTTGTGTCTGCTTCGGGGTCTGCCTTTGATCTCTGACAGCAATTATTTTGCCCCGTTCAAGTCCAACCTTGCCTGGCACCTTTGTGGCTCCTTCAGCCATACAGGAAAACCGTACAAGGGTTTCTCCTACAAGGAAACCCTCAAATTTCAAGGAATGGCTTTTTACAGCTCATTGTGAGCAGAACCACACATGCGGCAGACATCAAGTTTGCCATTTTCATCTCTTCGCTAGCAGCAGGGAGACGTGCGCCGTCTCAACGTGCTTCACCTGTGTCCAGAGACCGCCTCTCTTTTCCACAGTGAGGTAGCTTTCGGTGTGGCAGGCTGGTGCGAGTGAAAAATGTAAAAATATTTTTAATGTGAAAATACGCTTTTGCTGTCTTAGACCAGCGCTGCCCAGTGCCCTGCGTGCAGCCCCGGGGTCACCGGCGACACAGCCCGCCCGGCTGCGGGCCCCAGGGCAGCCAACAAGCAGCCGGACCGCTGCAGAGCCTCGTACGGCGAGCTCAGGGCAGCCGGCACCGACGAGCAGCTTCAAGAACAGCGGTGCCCGGGTGTCCCCGGACGCAGTGCGGCAGCAGCTGCGCTCCGCACACCGGGTCCACAGCGAGGAAGGGCGGGTGACGGCGGGAGCGGCCCGGCCCGGCCCCGGTCCCTCCCCGCCGAGGCGCCCCGGGGCCGCCCCGCTCCGCCGCGCCCGGGCCGCTCCCGCCATGCGGCTCTGGGTGCTCCTCAGCCTGCTGCTGCTGCTCCTGCAGGAAGCGCTGCCACACGGTGAGCCGCTGCCCCGACGGGTCTCCCCGCTTCCCCTTTTCCCAGCCGTACCCGCCGGCCCGAGCGCGCCGGGACGGGAGCAGGAACCATCACGGGAGGGGGCGGCGGCGGCGCTCCCGTCCCGCTGGGCAGAGGCGGAGGGAAGGCGGGCTGCTCGCATCGTGTGCGGCCAGCCGGTCGCCGAAGCCTTCGGGCGAAAATGTGTGTTTGGGTTCTGGGGAGAGGCGCTCGCAGCAGCCCCGGCTGCTCCTGCCGCCCGCTCGCTTTGGGTAAAGCTTTGAGCCGCGTCCGGTGCCGTGTGGCGCCTGAGGAGGGGACGGTGCTGGGCGTGGGACAGCGGTGGACGTGGTGCTCGGATTTAAAAAACAACAACAAAAAATTTGACTTTCTGCATCGTTGTTTGATTGAGAGCATCGAACTTTACTCATAAGTTGAGTAAAGTTATGAGAAAAGTTCTCATAACTTTTTTTCTCACAGCCGCTTCAGGCTGTGAGAAAGTCGTGGTGGGGAAGGGACATGGGTAACTAATTTTTGACTTACATAGACTTTAACTAGCAAAAGGGAGGCTTTTTCCCTCTTGCAAAATGTGAATGAACTTACTAATACTTACTTGGAAGAAACAACAAAAAAGTAATTCCATTGTTTTTCACCGTGGGCAGGCTTGGGGATCAAGGCCTGTGTAGCCCATGGAAGGGTTTGTAGAGAAATAGGAGGCAGGCTCTTAGGTGCGTGGTGAAAGGCAGCTACCACAAGTACCTTAGTAGCTCATAAGGAAAACATTCGTATAAGAACATAAAAAATCCTCCACCTTAAGAGCTGTTAAACATAGAATTTGTCAGAGGAGGCTGTAGAGTCTCCAGCCTCTGGGAAAATCAGAGCTCAGCTGGACATGGCTCAGAGCACCTGAACAGAGATGGGAAGGGAATTCCAGAAGCCTTTTCCAGCCTAGTTTTTCTCACAACTACATGCAGAGGAATTGCATTGTGGCTCAGAGTGGCCTGGGAAAGGATTTCTGCTGAAAGATCTGGTCTGTGGGTGTACCACATCAAGAAAAGTGTTTTCTATTTGAGAAGTAGACAATAAAAACACAGAATAAGAAAGGAGTTCCAGCTCTGCCATCCAGAAGCTTAGCAATGGGAGAAAGTAACCAGGCATATTTAATAAGAGTTTCTTGTCCAAAGCTAAATGTAGAAGTCCTAATGTAGGAATTGTAATTTCAAAATAGTCTTCCTAATTTATCTTATATTAATTTATGAAATAATGAAATATGCCACTCCAGATTGGCCCTGTGTTTGGATGATTAACTTTTCGTTTGAACTATCACAAATTATGAGATGCGCCCAGCTTGTTCTGTTATATTGCTTGTAATCACAAAGAATCTTTCCTCATATAGTAATCCTGCTGGTTAATTCTACTTTATGGTAATCTAACAATTTATTTTTTATTTATATTTTTAAATTTATTTTTTAAATTTATGGTAACCTCACACTTTTCACCTCAAGGAAGAATTAATCAGTATAAATTGAGAGAGTTTTCGGTCTCTGATGGTAGCAAGATGTAGCATGGGGGCTGCCTTGTGGACTGGGTATGTGTGGTGGACAGTGAACATGACTCCTTAGTACCTGTGGGAGACCAGGCTCGCACAGTGCTTCTCAGGATCTCTAGGCTGATACTTGAAAATCAGGGGCCTTCTCGAGATATAACCTGTGCAGCTGTGAGACTAGTGGAATGTGCATGTGGATGTAGGTGATGTTTCAAATAAAAAGCATAATGCTTTTTGGTATTATATAACTAACACCCATTTTGAGATTGCATGTCTGACATTTGTGAGAACAAGGGGCAGACATTAAAGGATAGGGTAAGACAAATACTGTGAACCAGGAGCAGAAGTGCTGCATGATATATTTCTGAGGCATAGTCTCCTACTTTGGCATAATGAGTTATTTGGGACCCCAAATGTACTGTTGCAGCTGAAATTAGTACAGTGCCTCTTAGAACCGACTTTAGGAGTTGATTAGTGGTAGAAATGAGGCATTTTCTCAATATTTTTCTAAGTCTTAATTTTATTATATTTTTATATCTAATAAGAAATGCTGTTGCACTAAAGCAGTGCAACATTAGGCAGTGCAATGTTTTTAAAACAGTGAGGGCTCAGTGCATAATTCTAGTGAGACAGTGAAATATCCTAAACGTGGCATATTAATGTGCTTGCATAAATGGGCTAATTGACTTTGTTCCCTTTCTTGGAAAAGTCTTGCAGATTGAGTAAGGAAATGGAGGATTCTTGATGGTGGTTTCTGTGTTCCTGGAGGGATTTGGTTGTGTGTCCTCTCTACCTTGGGTGATACTGTAGCAGTTAATTTCCTTACCTGGCATAGAAAGACGTAATTCAGCTGAGACAGGACAGGATTGTGAGGTGCAGAAGTGGTGTTGTCAGTAGACACCTGGGCAGACTTCCAAGGGAGTGTTGGGAAGGAGCATGGCCACAGCTTGCTTGGAAACTCATCTCTCTGAGAGGTGCAACAGAGGCAGAACCAGGTTTTCCATGTAGGAAGATAAAAGCTCATCTGATGTATTTCCTGAAATGCCCCTGCTGTCACCTGCAGGGAAATACAAGGTCAGGCAGACAAGGCTCTCACTGAGCAGCTGGGAGTGTGGTGTAGGAGGAAAGTGTTCAGACTTGCTGAACTGCAGAAACACGAAACAGAGGGAACTTGTGTGGAGAGAAAAAACTTAATCGTGAGAAAATCAAAACCAGGCTTCTGGCACTTAAAATTGAAAAGCTTTCATAGGGAAGTCTTTAACAGTTTCTTGAAGGCAGAGTCTTAGGTGTGGCAGAGCACACAGTATGGGATGAAGCATTTCTTAGGGGTAAGGTTGCAGGGGCCATATGCCTTTGAAATAATATCAGCATTAAGATTGGCAAAAAGTAGAGTAAGTGTCAAAGAGTAATTTGAACAAATTTCAGTAGGGTTTGATGGGGGAAAAAAAAAAAAAGGATGACTGAACCAAAGCTTGTGTGCTGCTACAGAGTAATCTGGAAAATTCAACAAGGAACTGGAATGGCCAATTTGAAATGGGAATGCTTATTCAAAAGGCTTATGACGCCTGTCAGTGGCACCTGCCAGTACTAGGGCACAGCAGTGTGATGGAATTCCACTAAAATGGAATAGCTTACCCTAGGGCAAAGTGGCAGGATGTGTTGAAGAAAACTTCAGTGTTAAATCTGTTTCCTGGTGGGTTTTGATGGTAAAAGTCATCGGGACTGAAATACCAGCCCTGTGGAGAGGAACCAACCCGCTAACTGACCACCCAATGTGTAATAACTGCTCTGCTGAGGAAAATCAGGGGCAGCAAGGACTGGATAGAAAAGCAAAAGGAAGAATAACTTCCTCTCACGTCGGCTGGGTCACACACATTGAGATGTGGTGCAGAATGCAGTTGTTTAGATGCCACAAATAATGACTTAGAGCTGCTATTCAAAGAGCCCCTCAGAAGAGCAGCAATTCTTGACTCGCTCTGGAGCAGTACTCAAGTAATTGGATTCAGATGTTGTTGTGGAAGGGCCAGACTGTAGTTCTAATATTCTTGCTGGAATACTAAAAGAAAAAGAAACCGCTGATGTGTTTAATTTTGGAAGGGGGAAATTACATAAGAGAAGGAGGCTCCTTAATTCACATGTGGATTAAATATAAAAAACAGAATAAATCAGACAAAAAGAGTTTGAGAAACAGCTTACAAAAGGATAAAATCACCCATAAATCCTTTTACTTCTTTTGATGTGCCAGGATGGGGCAGGGAGACATAGCTGCAGAATTTTTATGGCTAGTAGGAATGGGGGACAAGAAAGTGAATCTATAGAAAGTGAAATTTAAAGATTTATCTGTGCACACCCATGTTCACTGTGGAGGTGCTTAGAGAGGTTTTAATAGCAAATGGTGACATGATAAGCATAGAATAAACTTAAAGTGCAGTATCCTACGAAGCACTGTAAAAACAGACTCTGAAATTGAATTTTTCTCTGTGGGGAGAATCATTAGAGGACATCTCATTAACATGCCAGAAGAACCAGTGAGAGAGAAAATTACAGAATTAATTACAGAATTAATTACAGAAACTGTTTAAGTGCCAAGATTTTATGATATACACCTGAGGTGGAAAAGAAATTTGAATCTGAAATTGGTGAAGCCTTAACCCAGGTACACAGCTTGTCATACTTTACAGCTTTTTCCAGGGAAGGGCAATGAAGCTGGTGAAGGGTCTAGAGGGTAAGTCCTATGAGGAGCAGCTGAGAGAGCTGGGGTTGCTTAGCCTGGAGAAAATGAGGCTCAGTGATGACTTTCTACAACTACCTGAAAAAAAGTGGTAGCAAGGTTCTCCCAGGCAGCAAGTGACAGGACGAGAGGACAGAGCCTCAGGCTGGGCCAAGGGAGGTTTGGGTTGGACATCAGGAGAAATTTCTTCGCAATAGATGTGATTAGGCACTGGGATGAACTGCCAGTGGAGGTGATGGAATCACTGTCCCTGAAGGTGTTTAAGGAAAGACTGGATGGTGCTTAGTGCCATGGCCTAACTGGCATTGTGGGTTTTGGTCAGAGGCTGGACTCGATGATCTCAGAGGTCTTTTCCAACTGAATTGATTGTGGTATCACTACCATATCACTGTATAATATCATAAAACTATAACTTTTCAGGGAAACTGAATATCCCAATATTTGGAGGAGGTAGAGGCACAAGCCAGATGTCTGTGTTCTGTAAACTGAACTAATGAATTGCTGAAATGTCAGTATGGTTTTGTCATGACTTTTTTTTTTTTTTTTTTCCCTTGAGAAGTTTTGTTTTTCAGATCTGCTGAGGTTCTCTGAGGACTTTTTGTAAGAGTGTGGCCATGGATGAACTGGTTGATGTACTTGGATTCCCAAAGGCTTTTATTAAGCCTGTTGCAAAAGATTCCTTGGGAACCGATGTGCTGTGAGACAAGGGGAGACCTCTCATGGAACAGTAACTGACAGGAAGTAAAAAGTGGGAATTAGTCTTTTTGCTATATGGATAGAATTGCTTTTATCCACTTGAAATTAACCGGAATCTTGTAAGACACATGCTTTTCAGCATGTTTAAGTGTCTGTTAAAAGAAAAGAAATCTGTAAAGAGTTACAGAATTATCTCTCAGTTTTGGAAGACTGGGCAGGGAAAATAGGACTTCAGATTTCATGCTGGTGGATGATAAATAACACAAACTGTTCTAATTTCATGTATGCCTTGATGGGTTTCTACTTACAAATTTTGAACCAATAGTTCTTACTTAGGAAAGTAGTCTTGGAATTACACTTGTTTATTTTTTAAAAAGCCAGCTCCTAATATTGCTGTCTTGAAAAGTAATGAGCTGTTTAGACAGGAAAGAAGACACCATTAAATATTTACAACTAGATCTGAGCATACTTTGAACCTGGTGTACAGTCTGCTTTTGTGTTCTTGCCATCAAACAAATGTGGTGTAGGTGAATTGTTCTAAGGTGCATATTCTTTACAGGAACAATTAGAGTGGGACTTCTCAGTCTAGAAAGAAAATGAGTCAAAAATGCTCAAGTTTTGTAAAATTATATGTGTTGGAGAAACATGGATATTTCTTTATTTAATACAAAAACTAGAAGTTGTCCAGTAATTCTGTGTAATTTGTGTAATTTTCAAAACAGACCAGACAAATCAATGAAGGAAAACATCCAAGGACAATATCATTTTAAAAGCCCCAAAAAACCCCAAAGCCAAACAAAAACAAAACCAGCCAAGCACAATAAAATGATGACAGCTGTGGTTCACAGACCCCTTGAGCTAAAGGTTCTTGGAAGCTTAGGAGAGTAGTATCAAAGGAGCAGAGATGGTTGCCCTGTTCCCTGATTGGCATCTGACACTAGCTGTTGTCAGTGCAAATACTTTTGGTCTGACCCACTGTAGCCTTTCTAAAGTAATGCAAGGAAAAAATGCTACAAATTGTTGTTTTTTAAATTTGTGCTCACAAGGCACGGTATTGTTTAAAAGAAATGTGTTGTACATCAGCCTGGACTTGGAGAAGTCAAAGCTGCAGTGCAAGGTGTCCAGCTGGGGACTGAGGGATGTCACAAGAGCCATCAGTAGCAGGAATCTGGAAGTCCTGCTGTTTGAACTGGCAGCTTGTACCAGTTTCAATTATGCTGAGTTTGTGAGTATGATGGGTTTTTCATTCTAGAGGGGGATTGTTGATTGATTTGTACAATAAAATTCCTCAGCATTTCCATGTGGGAAACAAGAATTAGCTGTCAGGTGCAGTTAGTGGCATTTCTGGTGTCTGGCAAAAGTAGTTTTAGGTTTGTCTCACAAAAGGGCTGTACTTCCTGATGTCAGTTAAAGTTGAAATGTTTTGTTTATTTTTAAATATTTGAGACACCTCACTTTTTCTTTCTGTTTTCTTTGTTTGTTAAGGCAACTGGGCATCCCTGTTGTCTCTAGGACGTAATGAAATCTCTTATTGTTTGTCTCTAAATAAGTTTCTGTCTTCTGCTGGACTGTCAATATAAATGGCTGTTATGGAGAAGAGACATGTAAGTCACCTTCAAGTGACTGAAGTATCACTTGCATTTCAGTAATTACTGTAAATTAAGAAGCCTGCATCACTATTAGGATTTTATAAATTGTCGTGAAGTTCTACACTTGTGAGTTCTTCATGTGTCCCTTGTGGAAGTGTGGTGTGTGAAGAGGTCGTGCAGAAGTGATGGGCATGTGACATGAACGTGGAGAGCTTGTGTAGCATTGAGTGCTGCATGGCAACACCAGGAGGTGGAAATGACAAAAGTGGCTGCAGATAGAAGTGCTGTATTTCTTTCCCTTACCATCTGTAGAGGTTTCATACCTTGCATATTTCTCTGCTTATGTAAGTATAGATTTTCCATGTGTCTTTTTTTTTTTTTTCTTTTTTCCCAGGAAAATGGGCCATGTCAGACTTCAAAAACTTAAGGAAATTAACTCTAAGTTTTATGCATCTTTTCTAGGAAGAACAAAACTTCAGTTATTCTCTGGGATAATAAAGAAGATTTTTTTTCCCCCAAAAGGCTATATAAATTTCTTCTAATCAGTAACATTGCCTTCTTTATTTTACCAGTTATTGGACAGCCAGTGAAGAGTAAGCGTCCCAAAGAGCCTGGAGAAAACAAAATTAAACCTGTTAACAAGAAAGCAAAACCCAAGAATCCCAAAATGAAGGAGAGAGAGTCTGTGGATTCCACTTTGAAGTCCCAGTCCATACTGACACAGGTGATGGATAAAGGTCATTTCCAGAAACTAGCTGCCACCTTAAGCCTGGCTGCAGGACAAAGCATAGAGCTGCGATGTAAGGGGAGTAATGTTACTTGGAACTATCCTTCTTATTTAGACACCTTTAAAGATTCCAGACTCAGGTAAGCCATTTTTCATTTTTACAAGAAAAATCCAGAACTTTTTTCCCTGTGTTCAGCACCACTGGTGTGTTTGTTTGTTTACATTTTGCAGTCACAGTGTTCTATCTAGTAGTTTTTAGTGTCCGCACAAAAGATGAGCAACTTCTAGTCATCAGCAGTTACTGCCTTGTGATGTGCACTGTTGGATAGTCTTAAAGCATGTGAGCTGTGTTTCCTTCAGATTAATCTAAAATTATGTTCACCATTGTGCTCCAGCCACAAACAGGGAACCACGCTGTGGTTGGTCCAAAGTAAAACTCTCAAAATGTCTGTGTGGATGTCAGGTGCTCACTACCAAGTCTGTTGCTCTGAGAGCTACAGGATGTCTTCCAAAGGCATTCTGAGAAGTGTTTGTTTTCACCAGCTGTTTTATGGAGACTGTGAAGCACTGTGAGTGATACCCAAAAAAGAACTGTTAGGAGTTTTTCTTGGATTATTAGATGAGAAGGGCACAGAGGTATGAGTCAATATGTCAGCTGTTCTTGTCCTGTTGTTCCTAAGTTAAGTACAGGTGTGTATGCTCTCTCTAAGTAGCTCAGGTTATCTGAATCTCAGTGATCTATTCATTTATTTACAGGTGTGATGTTACCTTAACATCACTCCCAGTTAATTAGTTTTTCAGATACATTCTTCTTCTTTCCACTTCTCTTTCCCAAGGGGAGTTTTGATGAATGGCAGTTACCCACTGTCATCTCTAGCACATCCTGCTGTAATTCACAAGCCAGTTCTCTGTGCAATTATTTGCTTGTCACTTGCTGGCTGAGGTGCTCAAGGACTACCCTGAGTGCAAAGCTTCTGCCACAGTAAGTTACAGCAGCGAACTGGTTCCTGCTGTGGGCTTATCACAGCAGTATCTGTCAAAAGATCTTGTGGCTTCTTCAACCTGCTACTGCTTATTCTTTTGCAAGGAATGCTGTTCTATCCAGGTTTCTTTCAGCAGGTGGCGTTTATTAGCTGCAGTGCAGACCTGGCCTCCCAGGAAGCCAGAGCTGAATGAGCAAACCAACAGGGAGAGTGTCTTTATGTGGTCGTTCTCGAGTCTATCTTAATGTTTTGTGTATTTGCAAATAGGTTGCTGGCATGGTTTGGTCCTGTAGAGTGTCAGAATGTGGCATTGAAGAGGGCAGGGCAAGCATTCAGGGTTTTTTGGAGTGGAGTTTGAATACCTCTTAACTGGTTGTTTGACATCTATTCTTCTCATGCAAAATTAGGTGTTCTCTGATGATGCATGTGGGACAAAATACAGGAAATTGAGATAGTTTGGGGAAACAGAAAAAAAGATATGTATGTCATAATTGTGTGATTTTCTGCTTAGATCTTCCTCATGGCATATGCAAGACCATGCACCAAGCATCAACTGCAATAGACAATTTAACAATTTTTGTTACTACATTACCTTCATTATTTTAAAACGAAATGACGAATGTAGGGCAGAGGGAGAAGATTCAGAAAAATTATTAGCAAATAATAGCCTACAGCAGAAATTGTTTACTCATCTATGTAGATATATGTCCAGTGTCTTCTAACATTTTTGGGGTACTTAAAGACCAAGAATAAGATAAGCTCCTCATTACCAGTTAGTGAGTTGTGGGGTAAAACCCAAGGTAATAACTGGACTGGGCCTTTTTTACCTTAGATTTCCATGTGGGTCTTGCTTTAGCTGGGGCACTTGTGCAAACCAGAATTGATGGCAGCAACAGGGGCATGTGATGGGGCCAAGAGGAGGTAATGGAAAATGAAGAAGGAGTGGGTTGGTGTGCCAGAGGAAAAGTGAAAAGGAGGAGAGACACTGGTGATGAGATCCCTGCAGTTGCTGGGGATTAATGACTACAATTCTTCTGTTTATAGCAACAGATGTTCAGGCATCCAATTCTTACTTCTCCCTTAAATGATAGAATCTGCAAATTCAACTACTCTAGCATTTTGGCTTGCAACTAGTTAAATTTAGCATCAACATCCTGTATTTTCATGGGTGGTTGCAAAAAGAAGTAGGCATAAAAACCAGATGTTTTGCCTCCATGCTATGCCTACCGTATTTTTAACTCACCCATGTGGTAAGGAGAATGCGTTAACCTGAGGGACAATATGCCTTTTCTAAAGAGGAATATTTTAATTAGGAAAGCCATTCTGTAGTATTTGTGGCTATGATTTCATTGAATTTGTTCTTGTAGTTGTACACTACATCCTGGTAAATAAAATATTTTACTTGCTGTGCTAGAGAGTCTTGGTTTTTAATAGGTCTGGAGCTGTTACGTGTGCTAAAATTATCATATCTGAGGGAGTGAGAGATGCCAAGTGAAAGGAAGAGGGGGACTCTTTGGCTGCTTCTTGCTGAGATGGAGCAGAAATTCTGCCTTTCCACTGCTCTAACTGGAGTACACAACAGTGCACACTGAAACAATTTACTTTGCTTTAGAGACTGTAGTGTGCCATACACTGAGAGAAAGCTCAAGTCATGCAAATATGGTTCCCAGCTTAAGGACACACACAAGCTTACTTCAGAACTAGCCTGTTGTCTGCAATGCTCTCTTGCCTTGTGCAGCACTTAAATACTTTTTGTCTGAAAATTTTGTTCTCTGGCTAACTGGCCAAAAACATTGGTGGCGTTAACAGTCAGAGGTTGCTCTTGCACCCCGAGTATGAAAGGGCTGAAATGCTGTTTTATAAGACTGAATAACAAATTAATGACTGGAGGCTCACCCAGAAACTGGATCTACAGCATAAGAGAGGGATGAAAATAAAAATAAGGGCAGGTGTATTTTCCCTTTACGAAAGCTTTACAGCAGAAAGCTGCTCTGACTTCACACAGTCTCTGGGCTGCCTGGCTGAGGCATGGGTCTCCCCTGCTGAAGACCAGCTGCATTTGACTTCATCTGATAAGTAAACTGATAAGTAATTGGAGCTGCTCTGATGAAAGAATCTGGGACAAACAGCTGGACATGCATCACATGTACATTGGTGTGAGAGAAGGGTGTCTGGACAGGGGCACTCTCAAATATTGGGGAAACTGGGTGTGGTGGGGGCCAGCATTAGACTGAAATTAGGCTGCTTTCACTGAATGCAGTGAATGCATCCCACAGGCTTAGTGGGATGTCAGTTGTGCTCTTGCGTGTAACTGAATTTGATTTTGCTGCTTTTGCTTTGAAGTTTGAAAGCTAAGGATTTTTTTCTTGTGTAAAACAGCGAAATGTTATGTTCCTGTCCTAGTGAGTGTGTATTTGAGATTAGCTCTCTTTTGTCAGTATGAATGCAGCTACTTGAGAGGAGTTTGGTAGATGCTCTTTGAGTGATACTATGTACATTGTCTTTATATATATATATTTATATAAATATATATTTTAGCTTTAAATGTGGCATAGTTTTCTGGCAAAAGTCTTCTGAACTTTAAATAAAGTTTAATAAGATGAATGTATGGAATAAGATTTTGGGCTGTTTCTAGTTTCTTTAAACAGTCTGGTAATGTTTGTATATACAACATTTTTACTTTGTGGCATCTACAATACAACTAAGTTTTGGCTTCTGGGTGAGATTTTCCAGCATCTAAAATACTAATGAAATGCTAATAAAATTATAAGTTACCCTGGAAATATTGGTTACCTGCAGGATTTACCATTTATACTTTATTTTATATGGTTGGTTTTGTCTGCTTAATATGGTCATGTCTCAAGTTTCAACACTTGCACTCTCAGATGCCAGGTTTTGTTGTTGCGTGTTTGTGGATGACTATCTTGCTAGGTTATTACTGAATAGCTTGTTCACAGTTAAGAAGAACACACTGTACAATAATTAATTAACTTTGACCTTATCTTTCTATCTGTTGGGATTTCAAGCTATAGCTCAGTGTCTGTACTAATGATCGGAGGCAAAACAGTTCTGGCATAATGGTTTTTCTGTATTGTAGACATTTAGTACTTGATCTTGGAAAACATTTTATTCTGAGGTAGTCATATAGCCTGTGAAATGTGAACTGTGAAACTAAATAGTAATAATACAGACTGGGACATGTTTTGGATTTATTTTTTCTTCCTTTTGGGTGTGATACACAGCATGTTCTCTTGCACAGATAGAAATCTCTCAAAAGTTATCCAAAAACTGAAGATAGTTTATAATATAAGGTATTATATACATTAAAAATGGAAAGGCTACTGCACCATAATTACATGATTCTAAAAACAGGAATCAGACAAGGTTGTGTAGGACAAATGCATTAGTGGATAAGAATTGTGATTTGCCTGTTTATTGAGGCAGGCCTCACAACAGCCCTGTGGTGGATCCATGTGAGTCTGTGTTGATGTGGATCTAAAGGTGTCTGAGGGCTTACTGGAGAAGGCAGTTCTGTTATCTCTGTCTGAGGTGTGTATTTTGTGTGCTTTTAATCTCTAAGCTGCTGGCCTGGCTGAAGGCTGGGTGTTGGGTTCTGTGAACTGCTGCTTGTGATTGCTGGCACTTGTGCAAACCGCTAGCAGAGCACCCGGGGAGTCAGAGCTTCTGGGAAGCACATGCAGCTGAAGTGCTGGCCTCTCTTTAAACAGTTATTCTGCCTGCAATGTAGAGTTAAGCAAAACTCTTGAAAAAGGATAAAAATTTCTTCAAATATGCTAATCCCGGAAAGAAATTATTCAGTCGGGTATGTGCCTTACAGAATAACTGCCACATTAATAAAAATTAGGAGGATAAAAAATATTCAAAAAATCCATGGTTGAATGAGTATGAGAACTGTTCAGACTTCATGCAACCTGTGTATTTTTCCAAATCCCTTTTAAAACAGTAAAAAGAAATTCATTATCAAATAGCTAAACTTAGAAAAATCATTCCTGACTTGACTTGCAACTCAATGTCTTGCAAAGGAAAGAGGGAACCCTTCATGTCCTAGATCCACTACCATGAGAGGCAGCTGGTTGAAAAAAACATTTTTAAGGGCTGGAGCAGCAGCAGAGTCACATGACTGTACTGACAGGATTCCCTGAGAACTGATACTTTTGGGCCATTGCTTTTACAATCCATCAAAAGTCAACCCAGTAGACTGCCAACCACACCACCATCTGTCTGCCAGGAAGATAAACCTTAAAATATATAAAAAAAGAACAAGATGAGACTGTAGCTGCTGTATTTCATAAGACAGGACCTTTGCCTCTTAGAATAATTGTCAGTATCTGTGTATATGTCTACATATTTATAAATACTTGCACATTTACAAATGTCAATCCACTGAGAGATATGCCTGGGAAATTCAGGAGAAGGAAAAAATAAAAGCACATCAAGTCTGAAACAATCCCACAGACTGAATTTCGTGTAGTTACATGATGGCACTGCCAGTACACCTCCAGTAGTTCTCAGGGTCGTGCTCTAAAATAGCCAAGGAATGTGGAAGAAACTCGTGAGGTGACTTAGACCACAGGAGTTGGTGATGCAAAATCACTTAATTTGCAGGACAAATGCAAGCTGAGGCAGCAGCTCTTTGCAAGTGGAAGCTTGGACTGGTATGTTAAAAATTGGTAAAGCATTCACACTGAAAGCAGGCAGAAATTATTAAACAAACTTTCAGTAGAATACCTGCTACTAACTCCTTGTCAGTCAATTATCTTTGTTAGATTTTATTGAAGCAGTGTTACAGTATTGAAAAAGGACTGAGGTGCACGTGGGTTGACTTGTAGAATGAGGGAAAGGGATGTACCTGGACAAACTAGGACAAAACATAGATGAACATACAGCCTAGAACAGTCATAGCCCCGTTTCAAAATGGAGACTTGAAGGAATCCAAAAATGAGCTGTACAAGACAAAAGCTTGCAAGCTCTTGTATGTAGTTAAAATCAATAAAACTACTCATGTAGACAGACTCTGCTGGAGCAAAAGGGGCAGTTGCAACAGAGGTCTGAAAGTAAAAAGTGGTCAGTTGCAGAGAAGGAATAAAAAAATCAAAATTGGAAATGAGTTGACTGAAATATACAATGAAATACATCTGTGCTTGTCTTTGCCTCTTGTTTTTATTTTTCCACAGCATAAAGCAACTTGACAGGTATAGTCAGCTAATCCTTGCAAACTCCACTGCAGCAGACACAGGTGAATACAGCTGCTGGCTTCAGCTGTGCAGTGGTAACAAATGCAGGAAGGATGAGACAAAAACAGGGTCAACATACATCTTTTTCACAGGTAATTAACTCACTGGGGGATTATTAATGGAAATATATTTGCTGATAAGACAGGAATAAAGCTAAATCAATGATTTCACTGTCAAGATTTTACTGCCACAGTTTTCATCTATTTTTAGTGGATGTTAAGAAAGACTGTGCTGGTGGGCAGAAAATTACTTGCTTAACGTGATTATGCAGAATACCCAAAGTAATGGATAATGTAGTGAAAAGCACATACCTTGCAACACACTTTCTAAGGATTTTCTACAAAACAAATAGAAAATGTTTTAGTTCTTAAAAATGTGTCTTGAAAAACAAAATAGGTCTGTGCAGAAAATCATTTTGTCATGGCATTCACATGACCCCAGGGACTCTCCCCCACTGCCACTTCATTCCTGTTGTTTGCACTGCCTTAAAAAACTCTTAGAAGGCCACAGTTTCTCTGAGGAGTCATTATAGCATGTTGAGAGGCAAAACTCTCTTTAAGTGCATGTGGTGTCCCTCAGAGCCTGTGCACAGTTTACTGCTGCTTGGTACAACAGAGCTGAAATCAAGTAGTTCATTTTTATTCTGGAAACCATTCTGAATAGTAAAACAATCTTTGATGCCTCATTAGAGCTGAAGTATTCATGACTAGAAAATGTTAAGATGGAATTGTTTGCAGTACGAAATGTTAAGATGTGATTGTTTGCACTACATTTTGGAGTTAAATTGGACCATGAGAAAGAAGAGCTTAATGTTTTTAGGATACATTCCTTAGAAAGGCTGGAATAAACTTTTCAGTCAAATTATTATGTAAATGCTTGTGCTAGAAAGAGGAATTTCAGATTTAGATTTCCAAGAGGCATGCCAATTATGGAAATACTCCTTAACTGTAAATCTGAGGGCACTAAATACTCTTCTACTTAGGACAGTAAATCAAACATTTTGACGAAAAGCATAGATACAAAAAGTCTGTAGCTTCAAAGAGTATATTTTTCTAGTAGTCCTTGTCCTACCAGTGGTGAGGGCATCCAAATAACTATTTGAAAGCTTACTAAAAGACATTCCAAAGATTTTCTAAATATAAAAAAAAATATTCATTATTTATTTTCAATTTAATGGTTTTTTAATGCAAGCAATGTTCTTTTTTGTTTTGTGGGTGCATATTAAGCCAAAGTTTTTTGTTTTAAATGTTGCTCACAGCTATTTTCTCTTGTCTAATGTACTTTTCTTCCTGTTAAACCAAGATGTAATTATTTCTGTAATTATGTCAACTCTTCTGCACAGACAAGGAGGAGCTTTTTGTACCTACTCCCAGTTATTTTGAGATTGTCTACCTGAACCCAGATAAACCTGCAGTCATCCCATGCCGTGTTACTACTCCTTCAGCAAAAGTGACTCTTCACAGGGAATTTCCAGCAGGAGAAATTGAAACAGATGGAACTGATATTATTTATGATGCAAAGAAGGGTTTTGTCTTCCAGCACCCTACTTCTGATCATAAAGGTATTGTCTACTGCAAAGCAGAGTCACAGGGAGCACCTCAGATTTCCATCAAATATCACCTACTATATGTGGAAGGTAAAGTGCAGTTTTCTCTGTGCTTAAAATGACTCTTCTACTGACACTAAGAAAATAATTTTTAGAAAGTAAAAGAAGTAGTGTAATCAGAGTTCTAAAATCTTGATCAAAAATATATGTGATAAAACATTTATCAGGTTTAAATTCTAGCAAGTTTCCTAGTTTGGAGGGGAAAGTTGCAGGTGTAAAACACCTGTTGTATTAAGCAAACTGAGTCAAAAACTGACTCTCAATTTTATCAGTGTGTTTAACTTTAGCAGCTAATTTTCTGTTTCAAACACTCAGTTCCCAAGGGCCCACCCTCAACCACAGTGGCGGTATCATCCAGTAGAGCCGGCCTCAGTGACAGAGTTCGTGTGGTCTGCACAGTCCTCGGGGAGCCAGATGTGGATGTGAACTTCAGGTGGCAGTATCCAGGGCAAGAGGTAAGAGGGGCATGCCCTGCCTGGAACGGTTTGTTCTTCACCAAGGCATCGTTCTGAATGCTCTTGCCAGTTCAGGCATGCTGGCAGGAGGAGGCAGCATATCCCCTTTCAACTTCAGCTTGTCTTTCCCCCGGAATCTCCCTGAGAAGTCACTCAGGGATGAAGCTGGAGAGTCCTGTTAGTAAAAATCAAATTGAGCAAAGCTCACTCCTCCTTCAGATTTCCATTCCAGAGATACTTGGCCTTTGGCAGCATTTCCAAAGAAAGCCTCAGACAGTGTCCAAGTCAACCAGCATCAGGAGGCTGTTCTAGGACAAGCCACAATGCCTCTGCATTTGATATCCCTTCTTTCTCCATGGCTTTGGTGCATGAATTATCCCACTAGAGAATTTTTAACCTTGCTTATATCCTGAAGCAGAATCTGTTTCTGCCCAGCCTCATCTGAAAGAATCCACAGGAAACACAGTATGAGTCTGTGGTCTCTTTTCTTGCACAAAATGTATCTGATTAGCAACACTGAAGGTCCCCCCTATTTTCTTTCTAACCACCCTCATCTGTTGCAGTAGGAGCTAATTTCTTAATCATTCTAGATCCAGATTGGCTTTCCAAAACTGTATCTCATTAGTGTCCACCCTAGTTTTGCATCTTTTCCAGGCTGCCCCCTGTTATTGGCCCAGCTGCTCCCAGTGGTTTTACTGCACCTGATGGATGCTGGCATGTGCATGTTTGCACCTCTCTAGCACTGATTGAATGTAAACAGCTAAAGCATGCAGGTTATCTCCCTTGTTTGCTATGAATGCTAGAGCAGCATTGCAGGGCACATGGACTATCAACAGAGGATTACATCCTCTCAGTGCACCCACCTGCAGGGGTGAGAGAGGCTTTGGCCTGTGGCCTGCCTCTGTGCTTATCCACTAGGGTAAACTGCCTCAGCTCCAGCTGTGCTTGGGGGGGTAGGGAGGGGGGAGTTGTGTTTGGGTTTCTGCCCCAACAAAAGGATCAAGTAAATGTCAGAGCAGAAGCACAGCATGCTTGTTGGAGACTTAACATTTATTAAGAATGTTCACATATTGCAAAGCAAAAAGGTGGGGTGGAAGGAGAAGAGATAGGACCATCAGTGTTGCTGGTCATATAGACCTGTTATACAAGAAAAAGAACTGACATTGTTCTAAGATTCACTGGATGTTTCCATTCATGCTGCTGCTTTCAGTGCTGGGAGCTCAGTGATGGTTTTGTCCCAGCTCACACCACCCAGCAGCTGGGCTCTCACCTACTGCCCAATTCCTGAGCAGAAGCAGCACATCAATCCCTGCTTGTCCCTAGGTTTGGTGTATTGTGGAGACCCTCGTTTTATCTCTGTAGTCACTAACCTCTCCTTCCGCTTTTTTTCTACTCAGTTGGTTTTTTTTTTTTCTTCTTTCCACTTGCCACTCCCTGAGAATTGCATTTGCTCATTCACCTGCTGTGAATGCATACAGATCCACCCTTAATCTGATTATGGGCAACAGGCTTCAAAGCAGGCACAATGGTTAGTTTGAGGAAAAGTGGACTAGCGAGAGCCTAACCAGGCAAACAGGGTCCACCTTGCACAGCCTTCACCTTCACTTTCAGTAGGATCAAGGAAGTTCCACTTGCTACATTTAATAACTTAGACTTGAATTAAGTGTGCAGTATTACTTGATTGTAGGTAGCACTTAATTTTCAGGCTTGGAACAGGAGGTAGTGCTTTGCTAAGTGGCTTAATTACTTTTAAAGATTTAAGAATTTCTATTACATTTATAACTGCCAAGAATTTTTTTTTTTCTAAAGCTGGCAATGCCTGCCACTTCCTAGGCATTCCCTGACTGCACTGTGACTCATCCCTAAGTTAAGTTTCAGGAAGACTGGGAGCTGCCTTTGTACTGGTCATTTTGTGAGTGAGATTGTAGCTCTGCTCTGCATAAGTGTCTAACATTGCTACATTTAGCTTAAACCTTGTAGCATTCATATTGGTAAATGGTTAATCCATCTATATAATGAGGCAAGGGAAGATGGTTTCCACACAGAAACCTCTCCCCTGAATTTTTATCCCAGTTATTGGTATAGCAGAAGCCAGTGTGCTGACTAGCAGCTGCTGGATATTGGAAGAAGATAGATTGCCTTAGCTATCATTGGGCCAGTTTATCTTACCCAGTATTTTGTGACCTCCTGAGGTGCCAGGCAGTGTCACCTCATAACCACTCCATTAGAGAACTCCTTTTTAGAATCTAAAATTAAAAAAGCTTTTTATTTAATAACAACAACAAAAAAAAAAAAAAAAACCCAAAAAAACCCCCAAAACCCAAAACAACAAAAAACACCCCATGAAAAAAGCATTTTTTATATAAACATGGGGGGTTATAGTTTTGGCTTTGAAGTTACATATACATTTTGGAAAGCAGAATGTGAAGATTAACTCAGAAGTATTTGAGAATTGTTACTGTTTGTTTTTATGTTATCTGATGTAGTGTTTTCTAAAAGTAGAGGAGGAATTAGTTTTCAACATAGGTATTTGCTGTGTTGAAAGAGAATGAAAGCTCCGTCAGCTACCTCATGTTACTGCTGCCTTCTTTTTGAGACATGCTTCAAGTCTGAAAATGAGCTCACACGTCTATCTTGACACCTCCCCCAGGACACCTCACCTGTTTGATCAGGTACCCAAATGCAAGTTTAGTAAGTGGCCTAAAACTGAGCTCAGGCACAGGCTCCAGGCAGAGCTTTGGCAAGCCCAGTACCTGTGCTTGGAGTGGAAGAGCTGTTGCATTATCTTTATTTGGCATAGCTTATTGGTACATCAATATTTAGTGCAGCAATGTTGCTGCCACTGCCAGACACCTTCAGTTCCCTCACTTAGGGCTGACTTTTGGATATAGGCTTGTACTCTCCAGCCTCTTGCTTCAAGGTGATGGGGTGGTGTCACTAAATACACTTTGTGGAATCATCTGTTTTATGTGGGTGGGTTGTTTGTGTTTTGTTAACAGTCTGAGAGGCCTGTGATTATTCAAAATTTCTGGAGATTGATAAACAGAGGAATTGGCCATACTACAAGAATCTCAAAGAGTGTTCTTCTTGTGGAGGATTTTGAAGACACAGATGTGGGAAACTATGTTTGTATAGCTCAGAACTTACAAGGAGAAACAACAGTAGCTACCAAAGTTGAACTAAAGTGATAGAAAAGACTTCTGGTCATGGACTGTCCTGTATGGTTTTTGACATTATAGCCATTAATTTTCTTTAATGATGTTTAAATGTAGCTTCTCTCTCACTGTTTCTTTTATATGTCAATGCATTTTATATTGACTAGCTCGACATGCCACAACAGAGTTCACTCTGTCCAGCAGTAGTGAGTTGTGAGTTAATGAAACTACTATGAAGCATTAAAGTGTAAGTCTGAACATGCATAGGGTGTGTGCATATTTAGAAACAGGTGCTCTCTGGGCTTTCCTTTGCATATGGACTTTCCCTCAGACTTGTATGAGGTCAACCTGCTGTGTGGAATGTGCAGTTTTAACATTAAGAGTACTGTATGTGTTTAAAATGACAACAAAAAAGCAAACTAAAAAGCCTTGTAACGAAGTTAGCCAATAGCAGTTGTTTATTTTGCAAGAATAATTAAATTTTTGAACATCATGAAGACATAAATGTGTGTGTGCTCATTTTCATATGTGTGTAAAGACTAACACAAAATTTTCTCTCCTGGTGAAGATTAATACCCTCTAGGACCTTAATATATATTTAATATGTCCAGAGACTTGTAAGCAGTTGAGTATGCTGGATTTTCCTTATGGTGTTACATTCTTACATCCTTACAATATGTAGCTTACTTAACAGTTCACTCCTCTTTAGATGTCTGGTGTTATGTTTAGTAAATTATGTAGCAAATTGTGGTTGCTAAAGGCAAAACTTACATTTATTTATATATTAACATTTACAGAACAAAAAAGAAAAAAGCAAACATGAGAATAATGTTCAGTTTTACAGCAGAATTTCTTCTTAGGTTAATAACAAGTTCCACTTCATTCTATTAATTTACTTAGGAGAAAAGGAAATTATTTTCATTTACATAGAACTATACCTGAATAAATAAGCCACTGCTTCTCTCACCCTGGGTTCAGTTCCAAGTACAAAGAACTTGCCAGAGGAGAAGGTAAGAACTTGATAACAACATTGTTGGACATTTTGGCAATGTTTTGGTTTCTTTTCTTAGTCTCAAGCACCAACTTTATGTAGGCTAGAACTTTAAATACAAATCTACTCCTTAGTAGTGAAATGACAAATTAAAAAAGTAATGCAAGTCATTTTATTTACAAGGCAGGTGAAAACCAGCTTATTCTGAACACACAAGGAAGCAAAGCAGGAACTGGTCCCTTGGTCACACACTTCCCTCTGTTTCAGCCTCCATTTGACTGGAATTCCTAAACTTCCTTCTGCTGAAGGCCTGAGTTAGCCCTGTGCTCCAGCTAATCCAGGCCTTTGAGCAGATGGGTACAGCACTGTTTTGAATAGTGACAGCTCTAAGTGCTAATGTAAAAATGGCAGCTTCCCAATGAAGTAAATTATCTGATCAGTAGTGTAGCTAATGGAAACATTAAACAAGCTTGCTGAATGCTTTTTCTTCAGCATGGAGGAACCTAAACCAATTTAACTGATAAGAGAAATACCCATGGTAAAGACTGAAATGGTTCCATGCAGGTCTCATGTAATAGGCTACATGGAGAACATCCCCCAGGAACTTTTTTCATCTCTGGCCTCTGAAAATAAGATATCTAAAAAAAAATTTAAAACACTATGCAGTAGAACTAACTTTGAAGGTGTAAGAGGCAAGGTTAATCTGTTAAAATGTATCAAGAACATTACACTGTAATCCAAAGCACTAAGTAGATTATACAATTTAATAGTAGCACCTAAAAAAAGGTCTTTGGACCATTTTTTTAGGGAAAAAATGTCCTTGTATCATGTGGGATTTTTTTTTTATTTGTACCAAATTAGCTTTAACAACCCTTGAGCTTCTAGATGAGGCTGTGCAGTGTGATAATTCCTTTTAAGCATTTTCATTCCTCAGAACAATGTCTTTCTCTTTGAACTAAAGGAGTTGTGCCAGCTTTTTGAATTTCAAAGTGCATTTGAGCCTGTAATTCAACAATTGATTTCCTTCTCAAAGTATCTGGGAAGTGGGAGATCATGTCACCTACCCGTCCTTGTTCAACAGCACAGTGGAGGCATCACTTCCTTGATGACAGTTTGGCAGGAGAGGAAAAGATGGTCTAAATTAATTACTTGAGTATTCCCCTGTGGTGTAATGGTTATGCGTAACCATCACTTGCAGGTCTCAAGACTGATACAGAAGCAGTACCTCTAAGGGAGAGTTTTAGTGGCTGTCACATCCTGTCCATCCTTTCTGTCCTTGTCCTCCTACCAAGCATCAAAATAGTTCTTGTAATTGAAAATTATGAGAATTCTTTTATTGTGTATTTTACACAGTTTTTATTTTAGCAAAAGCCTCTTGGGAAGAGCTGATGCTACACTGATGCAGTTAATTGCACATTTCCACCTAAATGAACAGTGACAGGGTAAGAGAATGAAGCCGGGGAAATGAAATTTAAGTGACTTGTCAAAGTTACATGCCTAAAGCTGGAAGTGCTGTTATTTCCATTTCCATACCTGTGTCACTGCTCTTCTTCTAAGGCAAGGCAGCAGCAGTGGTCAGAAGGTATTTTTTTCCTCAGGGTTCAGTGGTTATCCCAACTTTATGATGACCTTCTTAGCTGCAGCTCAGCCCTAAATGATTTCCTGGCTGTCGGACAAGATCAGTGGTTGGTTACTGTCTAAAAGGAATTTCATGAATGAATTGCATGATACCAGTTTACATGGAAGTGTCTTTGGTGTTAGTTATGAGAAACATCAAGTCTTTAGTTAGCTCAAGGAAATGATTCACCTCCAATTTTATAAAAAATACAGTGCAACTCATACAATGACCTTTACAGAAAAGCATTGAAGGTGAGCCATACTATGAATAGTCTGAATGGCAACAAACGATATGGTACAGCTGTTAAATGTCACCGTAGCATCCTCTGAAACTTATCATTAGAGTTGGAACTGAGAGTAAAGTTGAGTATCTGAAGACAATCACTTGTTCAATTGCTTGACCTTTGGCTTATGATGATGATGAAGTTTCTAGCTTTCCCTGAAGGAAACCTTATACTAAAGAAAAAAACCCAAATATGTAAAAGTTACTGGTTTGAACAAAGTCTTTTCTAATACGTGGTACTTAGGTTAAAGCTTGGAATACTAATACTCAAACAGAGAAAAACATTAAAACAGTAATTACAGGTTATCAGAATTATTTAATTTGTTGAGACCAACAGGACAAACACTAAACAGGTATTTCTGAAATCTGATTTCTATATACAAGCAGTCTTCATTTCTTCATAAAAGCATTAAGAGTCTACTTGCAAGCAGTTTAGACATGAAGAGTCACCTGTACTGTGGAGGTAAATTATCAACAAATTATTAACGGTCTCTACCATACTTACTTTTTTGTACAGTAGCCTGGAAAAGCTTTCTCTGCTCTTGCTCTACAGGAAGGGCTATGCCACATTTAACCTTCAAAATTTGTGTGCACTCTGCTTGAATGGTTTGAGGCATGCAACTAAATTACTTTAGTTCTTACTGGTGGCTAGGTAAGTAAGTGTCTTGTGACAGGACCTGTTACCCTGCTAACCTCTAACTGGGGCTTTTCTCACAGGCAAAAATGTTCTGAAGAATCACAAGCAAGCTCCATCTACCTTCAACCTACAAGTGGAGTAACAAGGGGAAAATTTTCTAAGGAGTAGCTGAACACTAATAATTTGTTCCGTGAAGCTTCACCATTGCTGTTTTGTTGTGCTGCTCAGATACCAAGAGTTTTTAGTAACTGGAAAAATGTTCCTCCTTAGATTAAAGATCCTTTGACTAATACAAGCAGAAGAAAAATCCTTCAGTCAGTACAAAACATTTATTGTAAAGCTTTCAGCTCAAATACATGCAATCAAATCTCTTTGACCATAGGAAGTAAGAATGTTCTGAGATGTACTTAAAGCCAAGTTGTAGCCAACACAGGATTTTCATAGTTAAATTTGAACCTCCTAGTAAACATTTTAAGTACTGACACCACTAATAAGTGGTATGTACAGTGCCCTAAAAAGGATTAAAAGAAAGCATAATGTTCCATAGAAATGGCACCCTTAACTTGTACATTATGAGAGGGTTAAGTAAATTTAATGATGAAACAGTCTATCACAAGTTTAAATATATTACAAATTTACTTATTGTATGAGCACCGTTAAGTGTTGTTTCTGTGTCTGTGTTCCTCATTACTAGCCAAGATTTTGGAAGTCTTAGGTAAAATACTTTGAAGTGGTTCTCCAGTTGAGTTCCCTAAATGCTTTCCCATGCCCTTGATTCCTGTCCCCAAGCTACTGAAAATGACAGGGAAACTCAGCCAGCTACCAGCATTAGCTAACCAGCAGTGTAACAACATCCTGGCCCTACCATGAAGCCCAAGCTACTATAAGCATCAGTAGTATTTTCTAAGACTAATCTGAAGCTGAACCTGTTTTAGTAGGTACAGAGCAGTCATCTTAAACAGGTCTGATCCAGGGTGGAGCAAGGTTATCCAGTTACCCTGTTGAAGCCGAAACTCAGCATGTGGTATTTCCAGAATTGCTGACACCCTCATCCTCCAGTTCCAGCAGCCAGGACAACTTTTTCCCCTGCTCTACAGAATCTCTTGTACGGGATTTTTCACCTGATGAACTGTCAAAATACCAGTATCCTGCAGTCTAAAAGGGAAAGAGTATGGCAGAATTAGCAGGATAAAATACCACCTTATCCTCAGGTGAATTTAGCCAACCCTGAGGAAAGTTAATACAAATGCTTAAAAAGGCAAAGTGTGTCACCAGCTACACTGGAATTCACAAATTACTTAGTCTTCTTGAGAACTGAATTACGAATGCAGCTAGTTACAATTATTGCATTTATCTTTGGCTTTCAAATCTACATCTTGTTTATCATCAGGAACAGACATACTATTTTGGGGAAATCACTGCTTCCTTTTCAGCAGGTAAGATGTTAGGTCTAGGCTTCTAAACTTGCAACTCGGCTAAGACCTTGTGATTTTGAGGGCTACGGGGGTTCTGACTACAACCCTATTGACTTGAAATCCAAAGTCCATTGCGCCCCGCAAAAAAAGTTCTCATAAATGGCAGAGTTGTGCAAGGACATGAAACCAAGAACCCATGCAAAATATGGCTGCAATTCAATTTGATTTTAAAATTAATTCAAAGTTGCATACTCAGGTTGGCCAAGACGCTAATGAGTCAGTTGACAAAGTTCTTCATGCCATTTTTGCCAGCCAGAATGATGAAGAAACTATCCTATGGTACCACTGGCAGCTTCTCCTCATTCCCAGGCGAGGGTACACTATTAAGCATGCATACTGAGAGCAGTATCAAGGAAATACATGTCAATGTATAGTCTTCAGCTTTTATCCTTTATTACGTACACAGCAAAGAAGGCAGCATTAGACACACGTACAGTGTGTTACACCCATTCCATCCACGGCACACGCACACACACACAGCCTTAAAAAAGTGTCGGTGATA